TTAGTCTTGGACCACTACTGAGAAGCTGAGAGACAAAGGGCAAACAGTGGTAACTTTTGGACTTAACATAGGAAATTGTAACAAGCTGCCACGTTGCTAGCAGTGAAGAGAGAGATGCCAAACATCTCCCTACTCCCAAACCCACCAAAGGTTTTGTTGGTACTTGAGGTAATGCCACATTTTCTGTAGCTGTCTTTAGAGAGGTTATTTTTTTTATGCGTTGTAGTACAGAAGGTGTTTTCAAATTGGCAAGTAGTGCAGTGGTATTTGAGGTTGTGTTTGTTGGAAATGAATGGAAAGTGGCAGTGTTTATGTAGTTGAGTAGCATGGGGATATTATTATTTTATCTAGTGGAATAAGAAGCAGCTTACTTCAAATTATTCAGAAAAGCTGGATTCCGAATTTTCATGTGCTACTCTTTCTAGTGCTGGTGAATCCTGAAAATCACTTAGCTGAGGCTCTGGGGAGGGCACTGGTCTTCTGAGCTACAGGGGGTTGTTTGTATTAGATGTGTAAGAAGTGTTTCTGCTCAGGAACCCAGCAATTCTTCTGAAGACGTGTTTCTTGCTGAAGGCAGTGCAGACTGTAACTTATGGCTGCAAAGAACAGGCTTCATAGGTGAGCCAAGCCAACAGCTTCAGCTGTGCCTCACTAAATGTGCTGGTGGACCCTGTAGCTTGGAAAGCTGAGAGATAAAAAATCAGCATCTTCTGCAGTGACAACTGCATGATCATCGAGGGCCTGTTGAGCTGTATAAATCAGCTGTTCTTCAGAGAATCTTTCTGCCTCAATTTTTGGCCAGCAGAAGAGGACTGATCTGGTCATCCAAGAACGATCCCTAGCTGCAGAATGCTGAATCAGGGGTTGAAGAAACATCTGGCTTTAACAGTGCTGGGGATGGACTAGGAGAGAAGGCTTTTGTTTGCAGCCAATATGAAGTAGTAAAGACAGTTCCTGAGCTGCCTCAAAGAAACGTGCCCTGCATAAAGAAAAAACAGAGTAAGGTATTTTGGGCAAAATAAGTGAAAAACATTGATTCGGGACATCTAAAGCTTGATGTATACCTTTATAAAGGTGTTTACCTTTATAAAAAATAAATATTTAGTACTTAACTGACTAATCAATAATGAAAATGAATGAATATATAACACATACGTGGTAATGTGTACTACTTAAGTTTGATCAGTATTTTTCAACTTAAGGCTCTTGTTTTGCCAGTTTTCATGCTGATTAGTTACTGTTCAGAAGGTGTATTTCAAAAAGTTTTAGTCATATTCATGAGAGAGTGCACTTTAGTGTCTTCTTCACTGGTAAGCTAGCTGCGGTGACAACTTCAGTTTTTAAGTCTTAGAAAAAAGTGTATATTTAAAAGTCACATGGGATTAAATGGAAGATCTTTCTGATTTGTGTTGCACGGGATGCCTAGAGAGAAATGAAATACTGCAGCTGTAAGGTGATAGTTATCCAAATGCAGCCTTTGTGATTTGCTACATTTTTTCTGAGTCTCTGTATTTAAAAACAATAGCAGGAGCACAGATTGTAATGACTTCATCCATAGGGTATGTATTGTATGTGCTCTCACAGTGCTCAGTTTAAAGGCAGGCTGTTTCATCACAGGCATTACCTATAATTTTAACCAGGGCTGAGTTGGCAGCTGATAGTTAGTGTATATATTTCTGAAAAGTTCTAGAAAATGTATTTAATCAAGTTGATATGCAACACGGCCAGGATGATTGTATTTTATTTCAGTACCACTTATCTTGCTATCAAAGCACAAATGGATACCGGTTATTTTTCAGTAGAGACAGAAGCAGGATTCTAGGAGAAAAAATTACTGACATCCAGAAGTTAAAATATTAGTAGTATTAAGCAGGGATAGAGGAGGAAAAGTATTTGTGCAGACGCAGGAGGAAAATACTGTGTTCTTCTGCCAGAGTTCATCTTTACACCAGTCTTCAGCTAGCAAGTGCTTGTTGCAATGCCTGCAAGGTGGAGGAGTGTTTACCTTCTGTTTGGTGCAAGGCAGATGGATGTGGGTGTGTGGTGAGTGTTTGTGTATGCATGCACGTGTGGGCGAAATGGAAAAATGTGGCCTCTGCTTATTTCCGCTTCCCACTTCCATTTAGGTAATACACCGATAAGAACGTTATAAGTATTGTTGAAACCTCAATAGTGGTTTTTTCTTTTTTTTCCTTACGTTACATCCTCTCTTCTTTTCTTTTGGTGAGCAGTACCAAATTGTGCTTGGGCATTTATAACAGCTATTTTGTACCAGTTTCTTTACTACTTGTCTTTCCTCTTGCATGAGAGCCTGTTAGCATTCACAAGGTAATGGAAGAAATGCGAAGTGCTAACTCGGTGTTTAAGAGGAATAAAAGTATTGAATCCTGCTAACAGTCTTTTCTGCGTTCCCAAGGCCACATTCAGCAGTCGTGTCAGCCTTCAAGCAGCTGCTCCTGGCATGGCTGGGCCAAGCGTGGCCTGCACTGACCACTGCATTCCGGGGGAAAGCCCTGGCTGAAGGCAGGGAGGCAAGGTGTTTGCCTGGGGCTTGGGTGGTAGGACTGGTATTGGTTAGAGAGAGAGCAACAGCATCTGGGGAGAGAGATTATGGGAGCCCTGGAGGAGAGAAAGGGAGTCTCAGACACACCAGGGCTGGCGGGAGATAAAGATGTTTAAATTGGCATCTTGCCCTGGTATTAGCTAAAAGGTGCAAAGTCGTGTTAAAACACTCAGCAGGAGTTCTGAGCCATGTGCTGTAAAGTCTGTGGAACACGTGACAAGCCAGATCGTGTACAGTAGAGAATAATGTGAAGGCAGTTCACAGAAATGTTTTTTTATTATATTTTTACTGGACAGCATTTTAATTTTTGTCGTCAAGGCTTGACTAAATGCTTCCCTCTTGAGAGTGCTGGGGAAGGGAGCCTGGGAATTAATCCACTGAGGGAACCTCAGTGCCATTTTATTTTGGGTACCAGTTGCTAATCTGATTAAAAATAACTTTGGAAATTTGACTTTTATTAAGCATGTGTATGATATATGCTTGCATTATTAATGGCACTTCTTCCAGTGACCCAGCTGTGGGAAGAGTCAATCTGCTTGTAGGACTTTTGGCTGAGTATTTGTGCAAACAGGTGTTCTAAGGATAGTGTCTGAGAGCGTCAGGCAGAGATTCGTATCTCTGTTGGAACAGGACTGTGCTGTCTCTACAGTCTTTGTCTCCTGGTGTCAGATAAAATATGTTCTCATACAGTATAATAGTCACGGAAGTATTTATTAAGAGGGTGCTCTTCTGGGCAGGTTGGGATTTTATAACAACAGATGAATTTTTAAGAGCTTTTGCATTGTTTTAGATGGCTTTCCTTCTTCAGTTCTTGAATCCTTATGTCTTGTAATATTTACAAAAACAGAAGCAATTTCTTAAAATGATGCCTGCAAATAATATTACCATTTGTGAAATACATTTTTTAAAAAATTCTCTTCACTGTAGTGTGTGTATTGCTTATTAGTTTCGTAGAGGTATTTCACATATCTCCATGAAGATGCCCATGAAGACACATGGCATTACACAGTATTTTTAAGCATAACCAATGAAGATTAGCATGAAATGAGTACTCTTCTAGAAACCCAAGCACTTGCAAGGTAAATTACTACAATTCCTAGAGGAACGCAGTAGACCTGATTTCATACATCTTCTCACTTATTCCCACAGTGATGGCTTTAGTTGTCATTTTGTGTGTTTGGAATGCCATAGTGATGAGTACAGGAGACACTGAGAGCATAGCTTAGAATTGATGGTTTCTCAGTCGTACCAGGAAATCATAGTCCTCATGAAGAATCCCTTTAGGCTCTTCTGTTTAAGCTGCAGAAATTTGAACATGTGGTCTCTACTTTAGCCAAGTGTGCACCTTTCTGATCTGCCAGGGATTGCTGGCTGCTGCGTGGTCCCTTTCTGATAGCTGTGCAGTGTGTGAGGTTGCTTCTAACCTGCTTCTGGTAAACGGGGCCTTATGTCATTTCCTGCTTTGTACTGTGCCAAGACTGAATTCTGCATCCTATATGCTGGCTAAGAGCAGTGTCCAAGAGAGAAGGTTTTTATTAAAAATAATGTATTTTCTCAGAAACTTCTATTTGAAAGCCAATTCCTATGCATTCTTAGTAACATACTGTCTCCTGATTTCTTATGGGATTTGGTAATTATGCAAAAAAATAAGTAACTTCAGGAATTTAGAACCTTCAGGTTGAAGGTACGGAATACAAGTCCTGGAGCGGCTGGTTAAAGTTAGAGGAAGGCAGAGGTGTAGAAGAGAGGTGAGTAGGAGAGCAGAAGAAAGCAAATGATAGGCCAAGTGTTTAGAAGGAGGAAGTTAATAAGATCTGTACCTGCTTAATTAACTGCAGTGTCTTGTCTGGAGAAATATTCAGGCTTGGACTTAGCCTCCATCAAGACAACTGAATGTGCAGAGGAGGGGATGGCTAAGCAAAAAACCCCTCCAGAATGAATCCTCAAAGTCCTGGAGCCAGTAGGTGCCATCTGGATGATGGTACCAACTTTTCCCAGTGTTAAGCTCCTGGGGTCAGCAGCACAGCTTGCATATGTAGCAACTGCCTGGCTCAGAGCTCAGGTTTCCCAGCTTGGATCAGAGCAGTCGGTGGTGGGATGTCCATCTGCTGGGAGTGTATAAACCCCCAAGGATTACTGACTGCTGATTGTAGCTACCCATCCCGTCTGTGTGGTTGTCTTCCTGCAGGACTTCATTTTGAGCTATGGCTGTGTTCAAGCAAGATACTGAGCCATAAACATATTTCAGTTTGAGCTGTTGAGATGTCTCTCATCAGGAATCTTCTGTCGTATGGCATGCGTGACCCAACCTCACCTTGACAGCTCTTTCTGCAGGACAAGAACTATCTTCTGTAGCTGCCCTTGATGTTCCGAACAAAGAATGTTTTGCTTGTGGTAGCCTGCTTTTTGACTGCTCAACTTTGTTCTCTTTCTTCAGAGGATGTGCTGAGTAAAGATACTGGGGAGTGTGCAATATGCCTGGAAGAGCTGCAGCAGGGAGATACTATAGCACGGCTGCCTTGCCTCTGCATATATCATAAAGGGCAAGTATTCCTCATGGTGCATACCTAGAAGTCCTGAAAGTTGCATTTGTAGAGTAACTTCACTAAAATTTGGTTGCTTTTTGCAATTCATACAAACAAAAGCCAAGCAGTAACCACACTAAAGATGATTTTTAAGTGACATCTTTCAGCATTTTCCCCAATTAGCTTCTCCCACTTACATGAAAAGAAGGCAAAAATCACTTCTGCAGAATAGAGCTTGGATTGCACATACTTTTGTAATAACAGCCTTGTCTAATGCCATTAGGCTTAAGAGGGAGTGCTTTTTAAAACTGTTTCATAATTGTTTTCACTACTGTCTGTAATTATGATGTGTACGATGTCAGTGAATGATGTAAACAAGATGATGGTGTTAGTAGTAAAGTAACGTGTATAAAAGCTGGCTAACAATTTGTGAAATGCTTTCCTAACAGATCTTAACATTTAAGATATTTAGTTGTTCAGCAGTGCTTAATACTCAACTACAGCTGTGGTTTGGGGTTATTAAATTTTCAGTGAATGATGAAGTATTCCTTTTTTTGTTTGTGAACATATAAAAATGTAGAGCGTGGACATGCATGTGTGTATATACATGTATTTCTTTGTTAATGTAAAATCCCACTGTACATAGAAATCATGAGAAACCAGTTAATGTGCATTTCTTATTGTGAAGCATTACTGGGATATTCATGTTAATTGCTTTCATTTTTGTCTTCCATCTGACAGCTGCATAGATGAATGGTTTGAAGTAAATAGATCTTGCCCTGAGCATCCATCAGATTAAGGGAAGATTCGTGGTCTTAGGTAATATTTATTTTTAGATACGTACATTTTAACAATATTACAATTGATTATCTGAAATTACTCTTGATGCTGTTTTCATAACCTGTGAATTTGCTAATGTGTCTCAGAACTGCAATATTAATCAGTAAGTAATGACGTATATTACAATATATAAAAGGGTTTTGCATCCTTTTATGGTGTGGTCTGAAATGATGTATTCCAGTTTTAATGCTGGAAAGTGGAAAGTCAGTGCCAGTAAAGCGTTAGCATTAACTTTTAAAGAGTATTTTTTCCATGGAAATGAAACAAGATCAAAATAGCATAACCGTGTAATTTTGGATTGTTCCACGGCATGCATTTCTGAAATAAAGCTTTGGAATCATTAAAAAAAAGTCTAAATTAGGTGTTCTCAAAATCACTTTCATCTTCATGCGTTCCAGAATGTTAAAATTAATAATAATTAATATTTCTATCCATCCTATCCCACAGAGGTTCGTGTATTTCCAGCTTATAGTTGTTGTTGTTATTTCAGATCTGCAGTCAGCGTCAAAGGTTTAAAGAATAGGTTTATTTCTTTAGTTGGCTACTTCTAAATCTTTGCCTCGCACTGAACTACTGCTCCCAAGCATTGCAAAACACCAACACTCTTAAAGGAATGGTGTCATGGTTTTATGATGTTTGGCTACCAGTATTCCACATCATAACTGAAATTCTGGTCAGTAGGTGAAAATTGATACAAAAATTGTTGTTTTGTTAAAGGTGAGAATCATCATAATAATCTGAAGGCATCATTGTTGGCATTCATTTGTTTCACTTTGCTTGGATTGTTGAATGGGTAGCAGAGAAAACCTGAGGGAGGGTATCCTGTTACAGGGATGATAGTTTAAAAGTCAGGGTGGTGTGAGTTAAAATTAATGAACAAAGCAACCCATGTTCTGAATTGCCCCCGATAACTGTGGAAGAAATCCATGTCTGTAAACACATTTGTCTCTGAAAATGCTCATAAGTGTCTAACTTTGTGTTAAACCCAGCTTGCTTTCTTTTTTTTCTCACAGTGGTGATGGTGATAATTGAGGGCCAAGGGAAAAGGGGAAATGAAAGTGCTCATGTTCATGATGTTTCTGTGTGTTAGATGCTTAAGTAGCTGAAATGCTGATACTTTGCCTTCTGCTTTCTTAACAGCTGCTTCCACTGGTCAGAAAACATAGGAGATCTGAGGTTCCCCTGCTGAACACAGCGTGCCTAGCCTGAGAATAACTGTTCTTTGTGGCTGAAAAAGGCAAAGATGGACATTTACATGGAAAAAGCATTGTGGACACCACTTACTTGCCAGTAGTGCTCAGTATACCAAACATTCATGCAAAGGACACACAGGGATTTTGAAAATGCTGCACATTCTGTAACAATCTACTCCCCCACAGACGCTATTGACACTATTTTGTATTGAAGGCCAAAGTTCCTAATTTCAGCCTAACTTCTGGTTCTGTGAAGAAGCGGGTTATTGGACACGTTTCCTACTGCTTCAAGTGGAAGCTGAGACGTTCGATACGTGCTATCTGAGACCCTTGCAGGAGGGTGGCCCCATCTTTGAGTGGGAACATTTTCACCTTCTTGTTGGCTGAAGAAGAGTAAATGGCAAACTTAAGTGTAATCTAACAGCGTGACCTTATTTACTGAATTCACACCCTATTTTATGTTCTTCACTTTTACAGGAACAGAAAACATAGACTTCTCTGCACAGGAATACTATATGTCAAAATTTTCTAATTAAACCTTTGTCACAATGCAGTCCAAAGAGTAAATCTGAGACAGGTAACTAATTTATATTGATCCAAGCTATAGGGATTGTTGAAATCTGCACATTGTACTGCTATTTAAGTAATTAAAACTTCTCTTACACTGCTTGTGAGTAAAAACAAACAAACAAAAAAAAGCAGCAAAGCAAAATCTTACAGCTATGCAACTTTTTTTTAGTAGGAAAAAAAAGGAGAATTACCAATTTTAAGTGCTGCCAGTTAAGGTAATTTGTTTAACGGGTATTTTTTTAAAAATGTTTCAGGTAATTATTTTATTGTACTACTCTCATCTCCAGGCTGCCTCCTGAGGTGGAAATGAATAACTGCAAATGTGGGCACAGCAAGAGGGTTTTCATTAATGAGCATGGGTGAGATAACATCGAGGTGGGATTTGTGTTTAATTTTTAAAATACAATTTTTAATGTGCAAGTTTTTCTTTGTTTCCTTGTTTGAATGTTTTTTTGATGGCAGGATTTGTAGTACTTTGCAATCTAAATAATTGGTCTCTTCATGTGGAGGCTAACATTTGAAAGTGTGGTTTTCTTTTTTAAAAAGGCACCTGCATTTGTTTAATTTATTATTATTTTACTGTATTATATTGGTTTAACCAAGGCTCCATGGATCACCAGCTGTCTCCAGGGGGCACACCAAGTAAAACTTGTGGATGAGTATTAGTTTCCATAAAGTATCGCAGTTCCAAAAAGAGAAAGGGGAAGGAAAAAAAAAAGACAAACTGGAAGAGATATCAGGGCTTAGAAGGATAACTTATATCAAGAATCAATCATAGTAGTAGTATCTAAATTTCACAGTACAGGGAAGAGTTCATGAATATTTATTTGTGACAGCAGTTTTAGTGGGTTTCAATAGTGAAAATAAATTGCACACTTCAGAGTTTTTTCTTGTACATACATAATTCTGCTCGTTTGGTTTTTGTTTCATACATGTTTCTATTGTTACTGTGATTCATATCAAAAAGGGCAAAGGACAGGAGCTGCTATATGGGAGAACAAGTGCAGTGCATGTTAGTAGACTCCCATGTCATGCTTGCAGAGCAATGATTTCCTGGATAACAGTTTTCCCTGAATTTTGCACTGTAAAATGCCATTGTTATGCTGCAAAAAGAAAGAGTCCAAACTAGATAGTTTTCTTAATTGATGATGGTGTTTCTACGTTTTTGGGCTTCCATCACCAGTTCAGCTGAACCTGTAACTATGGGGCCCTGCTGTGTTCTGTTTTTCAGTGGGAGCAGAACCATTTTGTCACGCTTTAGTTCTGAGGTGGTATCACATGTACAGTAGTTTCCTGCACGGTTTCCTTTTTAGCCAAGAAATGTTGTGTTGCCTTGTATTATCACAGGGGGTGGGGAGTAGGAAGAATTATAGCACCTGTAATGCTCACAGTGGTGTTGCCCGCAGGCCCACTTTTCCAGTGTTCTAAATTCCTACTGTCTTCTGAAATTGAAGATGTTGCATTTGCATTGATTTGGTGTTTGCTGTTGGCTTCATGCCTGCAGAAACGTGATGTGTAACGCAGGTAGGTTAGTGTTTGGGTGTTCTGTGCTCCAAGGTCGTAGATGGTCTTTGGCTTGGGGATTAAGTAGATAGATATTATAAACATAAATTTGTTTACAATTTAAGCTTGATTTTGGTAGTTCATATCTCTCGTTCATTTATTGCCATTTTGAGCACTTGTATTTTTTGCTTTCAGATGCAAATAGATTGCTTAAAGACCCAACAGCTAGAACTGCTGTCCTATGCTTAAGGTCAGTTTGAAAAGCATGCCACTAACGTGGTTTTGCAGGGAAGGAGTCTGTTCCTGCTTCCGTCAGCACAGTAGAGCTGCAGTACTTCAGATTGTTTGAGGAACCGATAGGGGGGACAGCCTTGGATGCTGGTTTTGCATCTTTGGTATCCGTAAATCTCTTCTGAAAGCCTGTGAAAGGTTTTCTTCTATCAAAATGTGTAACATAGACCAAGCCAAGAATGACCTGGAAACATGAGATCAATATTTAACTCTGAAAATGCATGTGGAAATTCACCTTTGGAAGTGTTCTCTCACCAGCTATGTTGGTCAGTTGGAGATGACCATGCTGTAGACATTGCTCATTGTAGGCAACACCTTCATTTTAACAACAACTTCACAGTGGTCCTGAATCGTTGTGCTTCAGAAGGGAAAAATAAACATCAAACAAGTCTTGTCTCAACCAAGGAATACTGCACTTGTCCACAAGAAGCAATAACTTACATTTTGGTGCGATATGCTTCTTTGCCTGTAAATATATTAAAATTTGCCAAGTCTGTGCTGTTTCAGAGTATTTCAGTCATCTGACCTATATCTTCCCTAAGTAAGTAAGGGTATAAAATAATTCCCATACTCAGGTCTGTCATAAACATGCCGACATGCTGCTTGCCAGAGGGGAAGAGTAGACTCAACGCTGTCCTGAAATGTGAGGTTTTTTGAGCTTGTAACATACCTATGTATGTTGAGTAGCAATTTGTATTTTGAAGCTCTTAGTGGAGGAGGCTATGATTTGAGCTGTGTGTAGCTGTCCTCTGTACAATGCCAAGAGAGCCATGCTACTGTCGGCACGGGGCACTGATTGTCCTGTCTCTTTTAAATCGATATCTCTCTAATAACATTTTCCTTAGGAAGTAGTTAAGTGAATTTTCTTTCAACATGTACATTAGACATTGTGAGTTCAGTGCTGGGGGGGGAAAGAAAAACTTGAAGCACACCACAGATTTGTGGTATTCTGGGGAAGAATAAAGTGTAAAACATCCTCTTATTTGTAATCAATTTAATTTTTGTATTCAAGGGTAAGTGTACTGCAGTATATTGAAGTGGAAAATGTAGGTAAGGTACAAAGGTGTGGGTGGATACTTGTGGCTTGTTTCTTTCCCTTCTTCTCCCCCTTTATGATGTAAATGAGGTTTTACAGCTTAGTTTCTAGATTTATGTACTAATCCTAGTTCCTAACACTAGAAGCAGCACTGGCTTTTTAATTAAGTCTTTGCTGAGAGTCTGGAGACTCCCAGCAGACTAAAATCTCAGCAAATGTGGAAAATATATTTTTCTTTTTTTTCCAGAACCATGGATCCTTGTTTATGGATGGCTAGTATCTAATAGCTGAGTTATGTTTATGGCCTTTTCCATTTAAGGGCTTCAGAAATTTGCTGCATTTCTTGTGTTCCACCAAACCCAGGGAACGTGGCACTATTACTTATCTCTGTAGCAAACAGCAACAAAGCTCATGCTGGTTGTGATGAAGGCCATGTCATCTTTGTGAATTTTGCTGCTTTGTCACATTGAAAGAAAATATTTGTGTGCAAATATGGTATTGCTGATTTGGTATTGCAATCTTGTATCTGCTAAATTTGCATGTGCAGCTGCGATCCTACCAAGAGAGTACTGCATACCTGGCAATGTGGAAATGCTACTATGGGATCTTCCAGCTCACCTGTGCCATGGAAGATTGTCTCATTTTTGAAGAATGCTATATCTTGAGATTCACATTCCACCCCTCCAAGCTTAAAAGTCATTTTAGTATGCATTTCTCTTTTTCCTAGCTGAAGACATGCTACATTTTAGGGCCATATCCCACCAGTCTTTGGAAATGCTTTCCATTGACATCTGCAAAAGTAGTGGAGGAGGAGGCTCTTTAAAAGAGGAGGACTTGTTACAGGTTTTGCTACAGCCCAATCAAACATGCTTTTTTCTGTAGCAGCATCATCAGCTTGTCCCACTTTCTGGCACTCAAAATAACGTATGAGAGAAATTCACAAGAGAACAGTGTCCAGTATTTGTTTCCTAAAAATAAACTTCTGTGACGTTTCTTCAGCATAAATTAACATGATGCTGAATTCAGGTTGAAGACATTTTAGCTCACTGGGGGGAAACAAAACCACAGTGTTTTGAGTTTCGACTTATCTCAAGTTGCAATTGGTTCTCTTGTGAGTGCCGTGCTACACGGTCTGCTTCCCGAGGTACTGCACAGTGCTCTGTGAAGTAACCTTGTACTTGTGTACGTCAGAGGTGATGGCAGGGCGAGCTGCAAAATGACCTCATGGTGGAGCACGGTTTGCTGAAGACTCGCTCGGATAAACCATCACAGGAACATGCTGCACCAGAAAAAGATTGGACTTGGTTCTGGCTTTGCTCTAATAAGCTGCCAGCATAGAGTAACTAGGAGGCAGCAGGGCCACTATTTGCTGATCATCCTGGCAGCTTTCGATCTATTTATGTTTGAGAAACTTTTGCCCTGGGTGTGCTTTGGCAAAGATTTTGCAATGGTTAAGTAGGATTTGCTCGATTCTGGCAGTCTCAAATGTAAGTAATCCAATGTTACAAGTACGTACTCTGTTGCCGAATTCCGTCTTCTTGTTTTCCCTCAGATCTGTCCTTTCCATTGCTGGTTTTTTATGTGTAAATGTAAATTCTTTTCAATATAACTGGTCACAAGCTCCCAAGATGTGAAATGCTAACAGGAGGAGACAGCAAAGCATGATTTTCTGTTCTTCCTGTGTGTGTGATGCTGAAGCATTCACTACCATACAGTCCAAAATTCTCTTCTAGCTGGTATTGCCAAAGTACTACAACCTTCAAGGAAGAAAGGAGGCTTAGCTGTAGGGGGATGTTTTTACTGAACTACTTAATTTTAAAAGCTGAGGCATCACATGGAACAAGTGGTGCTCCGGCATTCTCCTTATCACTCGATCCAGAGTCTCGCTCTGCCTCTCTTCCCACTTGGCAGGCCGCCCTGCTGCTGGAGCACAGCCCGTGTCCCCCTTTCCTATGCCTCTTCCCAGCCCTGCCCGTGGAGCGGTGGTGAGCTGTGTGCTCCTGCGATGCCGCGCGGCCATGCAGTGGTGATGGACAAGATGTCTTCCTTCGTTACCCTGAGCAGAAATCAGAATGTAATTTGCAATGTCTGATGTAAAATGTGTTTTTTTTTTTTTTATTGAGCAGTATGATTGCAACTTGACTTCAGTTGTTCTAAGGTACTCTTTTCGATGGTCTGCCAGTACATAATCATGAATGAAAATATTTTTTTATTGATTTTTAGGTTGTACGTTAACATTCCATTCATGTAAAATATGTACAAATATATGTAATAAATCTTTTGAAGCACAGCTCTCCCCACACTTCCAGGTGACTTTTGTTGTAAAGTCCTGCTGAACGTGGCAACAGCTGCTGCACGCCTGTGCTGCAGAGGAAGGAGGAGCAGTGGGTTCCCCTGGCTGGAAGAGCAGTGGGCGCTGACTGCAGGTAGGAGCCAGGAGCACTCCTGCCCCAGGCTGCCAGCCGTGGCGGCGCCATTTTGTGAGAGGTGGCTGTGGCGGGCTGTGGTTGGCTGCTCTGGCGGTCCTTAACAGCGTAATGGCTGTTGAGATTAGCATTTAGAGCTGCCCCATCTGCCAACCCCAGAGGTGGGAAGCGCACGGGTGGTTTAAAGAGGGGAAGAGCTACTATTCTATGGATGTGCAGGCAGTGCTGTGGTGGAGATGCTGGTTTTGCCCGCTGCCATCACCCAGCTGGGGAGATGCTGCGGGTGCTCTGAGCAAACCCAGAGTGCGTTACCAGGGGTTGTGTGCAGGCAGTGAGTTCACCCTGCAGACAGGAAGCACCTGCTTGTGGTGCCCCACTGCTCCCAGAACAGGGCGTTCAGCACAGATGTCCCTGGGCTGGTTGTCCTCTGCTTTGCACTGCCTGGGGCAGCGTGCTGAGGCACAGTTGCCACCTTGCAGCTTTCTCTCCTTGGGAGATGAGTTTTAACATGGAGATAACTGGGTGTCAGTATTGAGGAATGAGCTCCTTTCTCTTCTTAGAGGAACTTTTTTTTTTCTTCTCCTGTTGCCATCTCAGACGGATGAATTCTTTTCTCACCAGTAACTCCTGTGTTCTGCTCTTAGGCCCATGAAATCAGAGCCTTGCTATGAGGGTGATGATGAGCAGTGAGAGCAGGATTTGGCGTTGTATTGGGAAAATCTGGAGTGAGTCCCTTCCAGCAGGTAGGGGATTTCACATGGGAAATCCAACTCAGGGGCCCCTGCTGGCACCCCGTTCTCCCTGCAGCCTACAGTGCCAGCTCTGCCCCGGCTGCTCACCCTGGGGACAGACAGTGACACCGGGCTGCTCTGGGGCCACCAGCATGGCTGCAGGCTGTTTGCCTGCAGCACCCCATACCAGGAAGCCCAGTGTTTGTTTCCTGATACAGCACTGCTTTGAGCAGCAAGGGGAGGGAAGCGTGGCCGATGGCCAGGGGATCTATCAGGGAGAGTTCCTGTGGTAGCTGGGGCTGGACAGGGACATTTTCCATCCTGGTTTTTGAGAGCATCGTGCTGTGTCCAGCGCTCTGTGTGCCAGTGCAGGTGCCTGGTCCTGTCCCACTTGGTGGGCAGTTGTGCCTGTGTGCAGTGACAACGGGCTGCCTTTGGGATGGAGCTTTCCACTCTTGTTCCATAAAGCATCTGTTTTCTGAGGGGGATGAGATCAGGGCTGTGCGGGGGCGGGGAAGAGGGCTCAACATAAATAAATAATTGTGTAAAGCCCATCGTCGGCTGACGCATGATGACTCACTCCTCATAAAGACAGCAGAATAGAGACAGATATTAAAAGCATGGGGACGGGCCCTTGGCCGAGCTCGGTGGGGCTGCAGGTGCTCGCTGCCCTCTGGCCTCGGTCCCTTGTGCTCAGAGCCATGCTTTGCGTCAGGATCCTGCCCTGCTTTTCCATTTTGCCCTGCTTACCGATGTCTTTGTTTGAACAAGTGTTTAAATTTTAACTGAGACTTTTTTCCCCTCCCCTCCTGGCTGGTTCCATAAGCAGGCTCCAAATGTTAGAAGGAAAACCCACAGCCTGTGGGCTTTGGCACCGACTGGCAGTCCCACCGTGGGCCATGCGGCGAGGCCTCCTCACCCCGCTCCCTGCCCAGGGCACCTGGTGACCAGTTCAGAGGAAAGCTCTTTAGGAGCCACCCGTGCCAGGATTAACATCTGCTGGAGTCGGGATTAAAGAGCCTGGCAGGTAGCAGGAGCACAAACGCCTGCAGGCTTTATTTGCTCCAGCCTGAGGCCTCCCGGCTGGCCAGGCTAGCACAGCCAATTCAGCCACTGCCTCCTGCCCAGGCCGAACTCCGGCACTCACGTGGTAGGCAGCAGTTCAGTTGTTTGCCATGGGCTTGCTCGAGCTTGGGGGCTGTCTCCACACATGGCCATTCCCAAAAATGCAGTTGCTATTTTCTACAAAATGCTGACCCTCCTTTCTAGTTTTACTGTATACCCCAGGGTAAGTTACTTCACAGCTTATTGGCTGGCAGTGAGGAATGGTGCGGTGCTGCCACGTAAACACAGTTTTAGAGCCTCACCTGTTCTGACCCCTGAACAAACCAACAGAAACTATTGTCTATGGCTCAATGCTCTGAGTGTGGCTCCCAGCCTGGCTGCTGTTTTCACCCAGCTTGGTCCTTGTATTCTGTTCCTACCTAACAAAGAGACAGCTCCTTTGTGTTCAGCCACTACTGCTGGCTTCTAAGACCTGTTTCAGCAGCTGGTAAGTCTGTGGCCCTGTGCAAGGCCAAGCGAGTGGCAGATCTCCCCTGTCTGCAGCAGCCAGAAGTAGCTGGACTGCCTCATTCCTGTCTCAGTCCAGCCATGGATCTGCTCAGCAGTGCTTCAGCAAAGCCAAAGATTTGCAGAAAGCTGTTGGTTCTTTACAAAGTTGTTTGTTGTCACAGAGGACAAGTAGAAAAAACATAATGCTGCATACAGAGAACATCCTAGCAAGTTGCAAGCAAGTCTTTAAAAAGTAGAAGTTATACTTGTGTCCGAATTTAAGCACAGATGGCTCTTGCTGTGAACCCAAGATCAGAAGCTCTCTACAAGTAGTCTGATAAGACTATAAGGAAGGGAATGCAGCCCCACATGCCAAGCCAACTCATGAGGATGCTCAGGCTGCCTGAGCAGCTGCTGGCTTTTCTAGCTCTGGCCATGAGTTGACACATGAGGCTGTCCCCTGCCTTGACTGCTCCTGCTAAAGCAGCCTGAGCAGCGCCCTGACCCTGGGGCTGGCCCAAGCAAGCTCTCACAACCTGAAATCTGCTCTGAGATGAATGGGTGCATCTGGCACACCTATTGGCACCATCATCAGTGCTGGGTTGTGTCCCGGTGGGCTTGTTTGCTCTATCTGCCAGCTTTGAGGCTGCCTCAACCTACTGCAGCCCAAGAGACTCTCATGTTCTCAATAAACAAATGGCTCAGGTGCAGAAACCATTCCTGTTAGCTGGCACAGCCTGAGAGCCTCACCTTCCTGTCTGCCTCTGAGCAGTCAGTGCTGGCAGCACAGGCAGGATAGAAAAGCCACTGACAAGTAATGATTGCTACATTGGTTTTCATACAGATATTTATATATATATATATATATATATTGTTTTTCTTAAACTGTTCTTTTTGTGAAAAGCAGTGAGTATCTTATATGTTAGGGAGCTGGAGAGTGTAGGCAGAACTGAGGGCTGCCTCCAGGCAGGAAAAGGAGAAACTCACCTACTTGGCCTTTTGTTTGTCTTTGCAGGAAAATGGGGTTTGGCACTGTGATGGAAGGTTCTTTTTCTAGCCCACCAGTGTTCTGTGGGGACATCAGCAGCAGGAGTATTGGTCTGTAAAGTTCTTGGGGGTGACAACATGAAAGAAGGACAGAGGATAGACTATGTTTTTCTATTTTTTGGTTCTTCATGCACATCAGGGGCAGAATCTGAGATTTCCTTTATCAAGGGAATCAGGAAAAAAAAAACCCTGAAAAACCAAACAGCCTGCTTCTCTTTAAACTGCTTTCTTTTGAGGTTCCTAAAGTTACGCTCCCTGAGCACCAATTATTTTGGAGGGGGATAATGTTTTCTTGCTGGTCTTATTATTCCTATATGCCCCTTGCCTTGTGCTTCCCAATAGTTCAGGGGTCAGATAAAAGGTTTCCAAGCAATGTCTGTACATGTATTGCTGGGAGAAGAGATTTCCACCTGACACCATTGGTTTTCAGTCGTTCTTTCTCCCCGTGAAGCCAGGCAACTTAACACTGGTGTATTGCCACCAGCACCACATCCAGGCCACGAGCCAAGGCAGCGCGCAGCCCCCTCATTAATTTGTCACATACATCTCCAGACCCTCTCCCCAGAACAAACACTGTAAGAACAGGGGGTGGCAGTTTTTGTGCAGCCCTCAGGAAATGTTAGGCAGAAGTGTTTTACTGCTTGTATTATGATTTTACAGAAATGGCAGTGAGTTTTTCTGCTTGTATAAAAGAAAATGTATTGGCTTCAATATGGAAAAAAGATTATGGAAAGTAATTGGAGCCTCATGTATCCATTTCTCAAAAAAAACGCAGTGCCTACAACTGCTGTAAGTCAGTGGGAAAATGAGGGTCTAATTTCTAGGCAGGGAAGGATTCATGCTGAAAGCATTGGTACCATGCAGTCTTTTGAGACAGTCTATGTTTCCATCCAGACTATTATTTTCAGTTACGAGGCAAGTAGTACTGTGTGCTCGTGGAGCCTGTGCATCTCACACCTCTTCCTGCATATATATGTGTGTGCGTAGATTCATGTAGATAAATAAGTTAGAGATTAATTACAGCAGTATATAGAATAAATCTGAGCTCAGTTATCAAAATGCGCACACATGCCCCTGGATTCATTCTGTTAACACTTAGTGTTCCATCTTCAAAGCACTGTACAGACATTAATTATTTACCAAGGCAATTTCCCACTCACCAAAAGGATTAGGGACGAGCACTGCCTCTGTAATGCTGCAGTGCAAGTGTGGCAGTTTCTGTAACACAAAGCTTGTCCAAATGAGGAAGTCGTCGCTCAGAAGCAAATGATCCGTTCTTCACTTTCAAAAGCTTTGGCTTCTTCTTGACTTATCAGGTTCCCATTCAAACTATTGGAAAGAGGTAGGGACGTAAAAGGGATGTGAAAGGGAGGCAGTGACTGCTGCCCATCCTCTGTTTTTCCAAGGTTTGAAGCAGAGAGATGGATGGGACAGAGCAGGATGATGGGCTGATTTCTGTGAGCTCACTTGGAGAAGTCAGGGCCATAAGCAACAGGGGTACAGGTGCTGCCTGGGGCCAGATGGTGACAGCACTGCTGTGAAAAGCCACATATGGCTGACAGAAGTTTATATTGTCTTCACAGCCTTTTGAGTCTTCCATGACAACAAAGGAAGAAAGCTCTTAAGTACTTGGACATAATTAATGTGAGATGACACGGCAAAATTTTCAAATCTGGACAGATTGATATTTACACCCCTGAAAATAAGTAGCCTGAAATGTGCAGCTCCCAGAAATGCTATTAAGCTATAAAATTTATGAAACTATGAGGGTTAGAAAGCATGCCTGAAAAGCCAAGCAAGAACCAAAAGACAGGCTTTGGTTTGAAAACTCAGAATTTCTAAGGTGGGTATTGCAGCCTCTTTGGCAGCTGGCAGCAGCTTTTGAAAGGAGCTTCTTCCACATCCCCGGGGAGCCCTCTGTCAGATAGAGTGAGTCACTGTCTTTCTGAGCAGGAATTCAGTGTCCTTTCATTAAAACAAATACATATTTTTAAAAATAAATTTCACGTTCAATAATACAGAAGCAGCAGCTCTAAAACCAGCGCCGCTCTATTGACTCCTGAGCTCCCCGAGGTGAGGGAAGGAATGTGGTGCTTGGCGCTGTGCCCTGCAATGCACATGCGTGACTGCCTGATGCCTGCCTAATCTAAAACAAGCAAATCTCACAAAAAAGTTAATCTCCTCAGAGCTTAGCACTTCTCGTGTGCTTGGAGCACCGCCCAAAGAAAATCCAAGCACAAATAATATGAACCAAATTAGTAATGCTAATTAAATGTAGCCAGCTCCTGCTTGTTGGGATTGAGCTCCTTAGAGGCACGAACATGTTAAGAAGTTTGAAAATAAATCACAAAAAGCAAAACCTGTCTACAGCTATGGGTCCAGTTCTGCAGAAACACGCGTTCTGCAAGTCGGCAGTGCAGACAGACGTGAACTAACAGAGCTCCCTGATACCAAAACACACAGGGAAGTGTTCCAGTGACAGAGGCTTTTTACCTCTTTGAAACTTGCTGGAACTGCAGCCCCTGCTCTACAGAAGCTTGCTCTGTGTTTGTTTTGTTTTGGTTTTTTTTAGGCTAGAAGGTTAATGCCATGTGTTTTAAAGGGAAAGAAAGCTTAAAAAGCGAGCCTTTGAGGAGGGGGTCTTTACCAGATTTCTTTAATGGCTGTGTTCTCCTTGAGAGCTTCACTGAGGTATTTCACTCCTTTGGCTGTAATTTGATTCTGGATAAGCCTAAAAAGAAAGCACTTCATATCAGCCCAGCACACAAACTATTTTATAGCACATGCACGGCCTGAATTCAGCTTGATGTCAAGGAGCAAAGCTGTCAGTTTGCAATAGGAAGACAGTTGTGATTTCCATCTCTGAGGAGGGCACACAGTGCTTGTCAGATGGCTACAGATGCACTTTAGAAGCAGAGCTCAGAGTATCAATCGCTTCCTTCTAAGCTTGCCTGTGGCTGCATTCTGGAGATACTGAGCTGACATTGCTGACACGTTTCTGCTGAGAACTCTTTACTGCTGGTATGAGATTGCAATGTTGGGGCTCTCTGATACAGACACACTGCCCAGTGTAATGTATATGCAGCTGTGCATGAAGAAATCAAGCTTGTCTCATCTCCCTTTTATTTGTAGGGTGATGGGCACCAGAACTGCTGTTTTTACAAGAGACCACAAGTATCCAGCCCCTCTGACAGTCAGTACTTTCCTAAGGGCATGGACTACAATTAAACACAGGGAATGCTAACGTGTGCTTAGCAAAGGTTTTGTACAAGCTTGTAAAAAAGACTCTGTTTATTATGTTCTCTCAATCACTTGGCATGAATGGATGGCTGTTTGTTTCACAGCCCACATTTGCCCAACCCCATTCACAGGCAAATTATTGTGAACCTCTGGATTAGGGCTGCCAGCCTGTGGTTTCCCAGAAGTTTAACAAGTATCCTTGTGATTGCTAGAAACAAGAATCTCTGCTTTCCCAGAGATTTGTGTCTCACTGCGAAGTGTCCTGCGTCAGTGAAAGTGCCACAGAAGAAAGCATAGGGCAAATGGCCACATAAGTGTTCTGTGTAGGTTCTTGGCTGAAGGATACCAATTGAGCTTGCTGCTTTCACAGTATGATGGCGAATAGTAGAAATCATAATAACATTACTTTATGCTAGATATCTGCTAGTATTTTTCTGAAATTTACGTTTGATGCCAGTAATGAGCTGCTACAGATAAACAAAGGCAGCTGTGCAGTTCAAAAGTTACCAGGACACACAGCCTGCTTAAAGTTTTCCCTGTAAGAAATCAGGTTCAAAACACTAGACAGCAGCTTTATTAACTTTCCACTAAAGCTGTCTACAACCAGTCAGCTGCATCCAGACCATGCACAGAGAGCGTACTGTGACCTACATAGACTTGGAAGGTGAAGCTTTAATGCGGTTACTGCCAAAGAGACTGTGCCTCTGTGGAATGTAACTTACCATAAATGCACCAGTTTCTTGTTGATCTTCAGCATCTCTGCAAAACTCATTGCTGCCTCATCATCCAGCTCATTTTTTGTCAGCCTAGGTGGGAGAGAAAACGTTGTCTTAAGATGCTATCACTATTTTTCAGTTTCCTGTTTTTCCAACTCATCAGTGACTTCATTTTAGAAAGCCAAAGTGGAGCGTGTGTCCTGTTTCTGCCCTGAGCAACCTCTGAAGTCTGGACACACAGACATGCTAAAGAGAAGCCCTGGAGTAAAAAAGGCAAAAAGAATGTCAGATCTTAATTTCTCAGAGCACTGATCTATCTAATGTGGTTTTCTCACAACATTAAAGTAACTGAAAGCTGTATGAACTGCACTGCAAAAAGATGGAAAGCAGAGGTAGCACTGAAGAGATACACAAACTGTGAGTGATGGAGAAAGCAAGATGGAGGGAGTAGAATTAAGCATGAACCAGAACTGCAAGTAGGGACAAGGGGAGCTGAGAAGCTCCAGTTCACTATTGGGCACAACAAAAGCAGAGGCAGATGAATTAAATCACTGCTTTCAGGCAGTGGTCTGCAGAGGCACTAAAAGACTTCTGCTTCCATCAGTCAAAACCCAACCAATCTTCCTAAAGTTACATACAGACATACAGAACCAAGGTGTCCAAGAAATGCTTAATGTTGTACTAAGGGCTATGGTTTAGTGGGGAAATACTGGTAGTAGGTGGATGGTTGGACAGATGATCTTAGAGGTCTTTTCCAACCTTGATGATTCTACGATTCTATGCACACTGCTTCCACTGCCACAAGAATAATACTTAAAATGCTGGACAGGACCCTGTCAGAGGTCTGTGAATAGCACTAAGGAATGCAAGCTGTCCTCAGCTCCTCTGCAAGGAGAACAGTGAAGCTGGACCTGGCCTTACCTAAGCATGTTCACATGTTCAGTGTAAAGAGGGGGGTGTCCTTCACCACCATACCAAAACCTACAGGAATATAAGGAGCTTACACTGCAGACCCGGCTTCCCACGGAAACAAAGGTGTACCAGTGCTCCTACAGGCAGGAAAGCTAAGCCACTGCTCATGAAAGATATACCTAGATGTCCTCCAGAGGTCCTTTCTGATATCAATGATTCTGTGATCTTAGAGTGCGCTGGTTGTGAAAGTGCAGAGGTGGCACGAGGGAAAGAAAGAAGCAGTAAAATTAGGCTGCAGCTTGCTCTGGAGAAGGAGGAGAAGGAGAAGCAGACCACACCATTGATTACCAGAATATTTTCACGGAGTTGTTGTGCTGCAAAGCTTCAGCAATGCTTTTGCCCCCCTCTGTTGTGATGCCATTGAATGCGAGACTGTGAAATAAACAGACAGAAAGGTTTAAGAAGCAGCCAGCGTTGCTTGGCCTTCTTGCTACCAAATACTAATGGCTATCTTGGATGATCCATGTCTGAGTTTTCCAGCTCTGAACTAAGCTGTTTCAAAGCCTCACTTACTTTGCAAATAAATGAGCCCTTCCCACTTTTATGTGAGACCATTCACAGTCCGCAGCCTGATGCAGGTCTGTCACACAAACTGTAAGGTTTGCTGTCAGTGAGAGCAAACTGACTTTTGGGATTGACAGCAGAGCTGCAGCTGTGATTTTGAAAGTTGTGGCTCTTAGCAAGGAGAGGGTGGTGCTTTGCAGTACATAGGTTCGTACACACATTTGTCATCCCAATTCCCACTACAAACCAGGCACTGTTTTCTTTAAGTGAGGTGTTCAGACACTTAAATGCCCCATTCCCCTTCCAAACACAATACCTTCTGTCGTGCAGGGAGAGTGAAGCCTGTAAATGCATGCTTTCCATTACAAACCACAAACATTTCTTAGTCTGTTCTTCATTCTTTGAATAGACATTGGCAAAATCACCCAGTTAAACTTATGCTTCAGGCTTTGAGAGTTCAAAAAGCATTTCCATCCTTAGAAGACAGGCCAGAGTCTGAAAATAGTGGATGGCCTCAAAAAAGAGGCAGGAAGGGGACGAATTGGAGCAATGGCATAAATTAAGGGCTAGCATATGTGTTAGTATCCCTAACTTCAGCTGAAAGTAAAATGTACCAGGGCCCAGCTTCCCTTCACCTTTTCATAAAGCTATCTGGTACCATCTGTGCATTCAAATAATGAACCAGGATTATCCACTGGAAGACCAGAAGTGAACCCCAGTGCAAGCACACTGCAGGGCAGAAGATGCACCTTGCACAGGTGCCAGCAAAACCTGGCTCTAGCCTGCAGCTGCTCCTCCTTATTTTTGCAAGCACATTCATCAGTGTATTTGTCTGAGAATCCCGGATGCAACACAGCTTTGATTCAGATTCCAACTGTTTTCTTTCAAGTCTGATACAGCTGGCTTCTGCAATTAGGGAAAGATGGCTACTTCTGATAGCTTTTAAGTTTACATATATCTAGGTCACTGCACCTGCTCGGCTTTTAATTTTTTAAGCCTGGCTGTACGCTCACTGAAAGGAGGACAAGACACCAGCTCTGAAATCCCTGCCTCTGAAATGGCAGCTCTGGAGAGATCCCTGAGACCGGTACTGCTGCAGAAACCAGTGCCATGTGCCACCTAGTGGGGAAAGCCAGGAGCCTCCTCTCCTCCCTCACGCGGAGGAGGAGGGAACTGGGAGAGAACGATCCTAGTGCTCCAGCTGTATGGAGGAACTCCACAACAGCAGCAGCAGCCACAATCCACACCTATAAATTCCTAGTCAGGATCTGTAATCGTAGCAGGGAAGGTGCTGGTTTTACACCGCTGGTTGCACCCCATGCTGTGCTGCCAACTTCACCCACTTTAAGGCCTCCAGAGGGCTACTTAGAGAATAATTACTGAACTCCAGCAAGAACTACATCTCATTACTAGCTTCAGGTTGGATATTAGGAAAAATTTCTTCTCAGAGAAAGTAGTAATGCATTGGCACAGGCTGCCCAGGGAGGTGGTGCAGTCACCGTCCCTGGAGGTGTTGAAGAGCCGTGTGGATGTGGCACTGAGGGACGTGGGCAGTGGGCATGGTGGGGGTGGGCTGGCCATTGGACTAGATGATCTTAGGTGTCTTTACTGGCCTTAATGATCCTGTGATTCTATGTCCTGATCTTTATCCAAACAGCACATCCCGAGTTACTTTGGTAAAAACTGCTGTATCTTCACCACAGCAACTGTTAACACTGAGCTCCCTGGAGGCCGATTCTGCACCAGCTTCGGCATCGTCTCTGCTAATGCTTCCAGCCCAGAATGGCACCCAATGACCAGGCGTCTTCACAAATGCCAGTTCCTCTACAGCATGAGGAAAGGAAACAGGTGAAAGGGATGCCAGCATTGCAATATTTTTAATTTGCTTTATGGCTGCACAGGGCTTTTCAATTCAAACAACATGGCCTCTTGCTTGCACAGGAGCCTGTTACAGAACAATGACCATGGCACCAGATTGTGGCCCAAGCTAACACTTGGTCCAAAGAGCCACTGCTTCACAAAGCACTGGGAAAGACAGCTCCATGGCGAGTTCAGCTGCTGTTTTACCTCACGTTTGTCAACCTCGGATGGTTCCTCAGGGCCTCTGCAAATGCCTTTGCACCTTCATCTCCAACCTGATTGCCCCACATCCTAGTGAAGACAGGAAACCAGAAGATATCAGATGCATTGCTCTACTGTCCCTCAGCATTGCATTCTCTTTTTCTCACCCCATTCATACCCAAACATTACTCCCCAGCCTCTGAGAGCTGCAAGAAGCCTGGCACATACCATCTCACTGAGCCAGGCCTGTTCCATTCCCTGCACCATCCACCTCTCTGACTCACCATTACCAGAAGGCCACAGCATAGGAGCAGCTGTAGGAGACAACCAGCCTGCTGCAGCCTGAGTGCTTTTGGGATTATCTTGCTGCAATGGGTAAACCTTCAGCTGCCCTGTACCCTTCTGGGATAAAGGAATCTTGTACTCTTCTACAAGGACTTTTTACATGGGCTGATAGTGATTGGAAAAGAGGGAATGGTTTTAAACTAGAAAAGAGGAGATTTAGATTAAATGTTAGAAGGAAATCATTTACTCAGAAGGTGGTAAGGCCCTGGCAAAGCTACCCAGAGAAGCTGTGGATGCCCAATTCCAGGAGGCACTCAAGACCAGGTTGGATGGAGCCCTGGACAGCCTGATCCAGTGGGTGGCAGCCCTGTCCACAGCAGGGGGATGGAAATGGATCAGCTCTAAGGTCTTCCAACCCAACCTGCTTTGTGGTTCTATGATTCTGTGATATGACCGCCAGAAGCACAGCTGCACAGGGACCCATACCCAAACAGGTCACTTTCTGAGGTCAACCATTCAATAAGCTCACCATCTCCTTCAGAATAGTCTAGTAAAAAGGTTCTAAATCAGCATTACGCCCAGTGATATCTCCTGTCTCACTGGCTCACCAGGGAGGGATCAAAATCTCACAGGCATTGTATGACCCCGGTCTCTTCTGTGCATTTCTAAGGAATAGTATTTCTAACATCAAAGCAACCTAATAGCACAAAGCACTAAGAGAAGGTAACAGCTGCAGAGATTCGATCAACATTTAATAGCAGTATCTGGACAAATTCTTTGTCAATTCACCATGTATTCTGAGGTTTGAAAGACTCTGCTGAAGTGTATTTAATTGTTTATTTACTTTTACAGAGCTCTTGTCTTGACAGCTCTGAGCCATACTCAGCTTAATGGGTAATTAGTTGGCACCTCTTAAAATCCATTGAGCTTTGTGGTATCTACTAAATACATCTACTGCCAGTAAGTTTCCAAGAATTTCCTTGTCCTTCAGATCAAATGCAGTTTGTTACAAAAATGCTGAAAGTACCTGTTTAAACACGACTACTCAGAATATCATAAGTCCATTTGGAGGGATTATTTCCTCCAAAGGAGAAAAAAAACATCCTTCATGAAAATTATAGCAAGCATAATGGCACTGCAGAGCCATCTGTATGACAATAGAAGTGTGTGTGCTGTTGATTATATATTTGAAATCTTCTAGAACAATAAAAACAAAGGCCAAAATCTGATTGTTAAACCTGATTTTCATATTTAAGTGTTACTGTGATCATGGCCAAAGAGAAGTTTTAGTTCCTTTCAGTATTACATTCTAAGATGAATGCTCTCCTGCAGAATGAAAAGAGAAAATGGGATTTGCCAGAGGGAACAGAGAGTCAAACTCTCACATCTAGCATCAGTCCTAAGAAAGAGGGCATGGACTACGTGTTTTCATTATGACCTTTCTCCAGTAATAGCAAGTTCTCCAGTTTAGGACAGAAGGATTATGTGGAATTCCTTTATATTCTCACAGCTCACAGATTTATCAGGACTTGGTAAGCAGAACATTCAATAATCTTAACCTTGACATTCCATAGCTATGTACATTGCCAGTAGTCATAAAACCACTCGGACCTTTAAAAATGACTAAATATCTTCACAACAGCTACTATGCAGGTAAGGGAAGCAGCTAACTTTATCTTCTGCCCTCTTGTTAGTTTCTCTCTCCTTTAAGGTTCCATCAGAACAGGAAGAAAATCACTGCATGAACTGGAGGAACCATAAAGCATCGCCTACTTGCCCTGAGCAGAAAATGTCATTGTGCTTCTGCACCAGTTTGTTCTGCTGCCACTGTGGAGGAAGGACTGGGAGGAGGAAGATATGGATGAAGGAAGAAAGCCCAAGGAATTTACAGACATCTTGCCAAGACCAAGCCCTGAGCTCTTCTCCTCAGCACTGAACTTACCCAATTTCAAACATCGTTGTGCTCTTCTGGATGGCTTGGGCAAGGCACTTCCCTCCTTCACTAGTTATTTTGTTTGCTCCTATTCTGCATAAAACACAAGAGTTGATGAGGTAAACCACTTACAACAGTACAGCTATTAGAACACCAGCTCATGAAACAATACAGGTATTTAAGGTTAATTAACCCTGGATGCTAGTTACAGTTAACAAAGATTAACCTAGAGTAAAAAATACTGCAGGCATTTGACCTTCAATTAAGAGAAAACATATTTTGTACGTTGTTCTTCCAAGCTGGACATATTACTGTAAAGTCTTGATTTTGGCACTAAGTATGTCAGAAATAAGCTGTAGGAACTGATCCTGAAGGCAAGGCTCCTTGCCTAGCTTTTAATATAGCTCATAATACCAGCTGTTGCTGCACAGTACATGAATTACATACAGCATGTTTTATGATGCCACAGGGAACAGAACATTTCTTGGTAGCGCAGGTCGAGAGCAGACTGCAGCTGATGAGTACAGACTAATAATTTTAAAGTCTTTTTGTTCTGAGCACTGGCTATAGGCACTGGCACAGATCAGTGCAGCACTGGCCAGTGGTTGGTGCTCTATAGAATCTTTCCATTTTTTGGCCTGCATGGGAATATCAAGTGGCTGGAGTTCAAGAGAGAAGTAAGTCTCAATTGCATATACACTACTGTAAAAAACCAAAACCCCCTCAAGCCACTACAATGCATAAATTAAAACTTTTGTCTGGTTTGTTTGACTGACTTCAGGCACGTGAATATGCATTCTATCTCAAAGCCATCTCTAAGCTTACTAGGAAGCCTGACAGAATCTGTCTTCCAACAAGCATTTTTTTTTCTGGTGAAAGTTAGAAGATTAAATTAACACAGCACTGTGTCAAAGCTGTGACAGAGCCAGAGTGCTCTTGGGTTTCAAAATTCTGCAAATATTTCAAGCAGGAATTATGTGGCTCATGTGGGGTTTCAGAGCAAGTTAGGGGTAGAATAACATCTAGAACCCAACAATCCCTGGCTGCTGGTTGCTACATTCAAACCAGCAGTTGTTATTGCTGTAGTTACCTCTGTGTTCTGCTGTGGTCACAACTAAACCATCAGTTAATGATCTACCTTTTTGTTAAGTCACTGTTGTGTATGGCCAAACACATATCTGGAGACGTTCCAGGACTTAAAGGAAACAACTTTCTCAAGTGAATCTGAGCTATTCCAGAGCTGAGGTAATGACACTGGCACAGCATGACTGCCATAGCCCATAAAAGGCCAGATATCAAGAGGCTTGATACTAAATGCAAGCAAATTCATTCATGGCAAAGGCCAGTAAGGTTCATGCATCACTTAAGCCTCATTCAGGTAATCAGACTGGATTTAAGAAAAGGTCTTGTGCCTACTACTACTGACAGTGCAGTGCAGTCTTTAGTAAAGACTATGGATTAAAGAGTTTCCCGTGCTAATATTTACTGCTAGGCTACTATTAAAAAAATATGTAAATACAATCAATTTCTTTTATTTTATTTGAAACAGGTTTTTTTTTGGTGTCATTTTTCTTACCCTTCCTCTTTTCAAGTTGCTTTATCTTAATTATGATACTGTATAAGTATAAAACAAAAAAAATAACTTACTTAACATATTCAAGGCTTGAACACTCTTCAATAAGTTTTGCAACATATTTGGCTCCAATGTCAGTGAGCTGATTGTTGTACAAGCTTAAAGAAAAATCACATTGGTAAAAATAGGTTACTCCTGCTGTCATTCTATATTTACAACCTGGGTGATATATAATGCACAGACAGCATCCATCTTTTTTGTATGGCTCTGTACACGTACACAATTGCTTGTATTTCTATTTTGATATACAGTTAATATTGTGAAGGAGTAGATATAAAATACAAGAATAGACTTAACAGTGAAAAATATTTATATATAAGCTTTTTAATTACATGGTCCTCTCAAGCAAACAAATCTTCCCTTTATTCCTGTGTTAGTACAGAAATAATATTGAATAAATCAGAAGGAAAAAAAAGCACAGCAGCACACCAGAAGAACATGTGTTTGGTTTTTTAAAAGCCATAAAATCCCCATACAAATATTCCTGAAGATCAGATATCTGAGCAGATATACTTACAGAAGGGCACGGGAAGAAGGAGGGAATTCTTGGTATTCATGATCACTTTTCAAAAAGTCATTTTTATGCAGCCTCTTAACCAAAAGTGGGAAGCCAGCACTAACACACCTACCAGCATTAGCTTGATTAAAAAATAATAGTTTCTAAAAATTGCTACTTTCTATGCTAAAATACATGGCTACAGTAAAAGGGAACCATAAACATGACATCTAAAGCAGCATGTTTCTTGTCCTCCCTTCTACCGAGCTCTATCTGCTTTGCATAGTAGAAGTAAATCAGTTTGCAAATGAAAAAGCAGAAGGCTCTGGCTACAAAGCCAACTATACACATATCCATATGTGTGCGCACGCGCACACACACACACACACACACACACACACAGCTAGCAGAAGCCTTCAAGTATAAAGCTAGCACGCCCACACAGATCAGTAACCTGACAGCAGTCCATGCTGTGTTACAGAAGGGCTTGACTAGTGGGAGGCCATCCTTGAAGCAATGGGAGAGGAAGTTTTTGGTCTTTTTCCTGGTGAGCTTTTATAGGACAGGAGCTGAATCATGTCTGACACAAAATGCTGCCTGATCATGTTCAGCAAATGAGGAGCTAACTTTGGTTTCCACCCCATCTACGCTGCCACAGCACTGCAGTTTTATTTTCCAGTAGTAGTATCTAGTGCTTCGCTCCCAGTTGGTACATACCCCAAGTAAGACACAATTTGGTACTTGGAGAGTTCTTCATACAATATCCTGGCTCCATGATCTGTGATCTGATTTACACTAAGCCTGGAATGAGGGGAGAGAAAAGAGTTTGAGTCAATAGAGACTACATGTGTTTATCACCCATGAGTCAATGAAAGACCGGAGGTCTACGCATTTCCCTCTGAGATTTCAATAGGTTCTTACACCACATATTAAAAGCAATTAAGGGAAATGTGAACTCAGTATTACATGGTTCACTTCCAAAACAAAAGAAAACAAAAAGCCTCAAATCAGCAAGGCAATGTTCTGGAAGCTGTCCATAGGACTGGAAACAATAAAATGCAGAGAATCAGAAACCAGAGACAAACACCTCATCTTCCTCCTGTGCGTACTGGGATGGCAGAAATTCCAACTGACACCCAAGCAAAAGCAAGCTTTCCAGGCCACTCCTATAGCCTTCTCTGGGTACCTGCTGAAAGCCAGGCTTAAAAGGCACAACACAATCAGGATCCAATTAATAAAGGTTGTGGAAACCTCTGTCCAAGAAATGGAACTCCAGTCCCATGGTTGTGCTGGATGTTTCTGATTTATTGTCTCAATTAGACACAAAACAAGTCAATGTCAATCATTCATTGAATAAAAACACTTGTTTTCACAGTTTTTCCCTACACTCTTGAAGCTTTTTCACCTTGGCTGAATGGGCAGTTTCCTGGGAAACATTCAAATTCTGAAAAATCACACTTTCTCAGGAAAACTGTCCCAGTGATTTAGACCTGTTTTGGTTTCTCCATGTATGCTGAAGCCGAACACTCATTGCTGAGAGCTCTTATCACCAGCAAACTCCCAGGCTCTTCCTGGTAGTACCTTGGTCACTTTGAAATGCACTTGCACAAAGGAGAAATCAAGATGCCATTTCATGTCATTTTCAGAGCAGCCTGGTTCTTTGAAATAGAAAGTGAAGCTGTTGGAAACATCTCATTTTAATGACCAGAAAAAGTCATTAACAGGGCAGGATAAATCATAACATCAGAAGAGCCACAAAGACAAAGCCTCCCAACAGTCTGGTTTGGTGCTGGAGGTGGTGTTAAGCTCACATTGCTCACAGCGTGATCATGTGAGACAGACAAAAAAACCAAAATGCTGTTCTTCTCTTCTCCATTTTGTTTTGAAGACTTGAGTCTTTTTTATACAAGTTTCTATTGCTTTCTTTTGGGTGGTCAGTTAATTTGCAACCAAGCGGGGAAACAATTTGCTTCGATTTAGTCCTAAAAGGCCTGTACAAGAAAAAAAGGCACAGCGAGGCCAATCGGGGTAATAAATCCATGTAGAAAATAAATCACTTAAGGTTGAAGGAGTTTCAGAAAATGAATACTTTAAATTTCTGTTGTTGTTTTGTTTTTTTTTTTGCACCTGAACATTTGGAGAAATCAAGCATCGCTACATGGCACAACCTCAAAAGATCAGAGGTGGAACACTGGCTTTGATGCTACAGGTGGAGTTTCTTTGCCCTGCTTATACCAGTTTACGTCTCCCCTCCAAATCACCTCTTAGAAATAATGCAACTGACACTACAACTATATTCTTTCAAAACATAAGTACGTTAGCTTTATTCTGTGAAAACCACACATCTGAGCAGGATGTTAAAACAAGAAATTCATAGTAACTGTCAGGCATTACTTGTTACTTGGTGAATAATAGATCCTCTCTTACCCTGTATGTCTTAGGGCAGAGATAGGCTTAGGCAATCTTTAGATAATGGATGAAGCACTTCTGTTTTCTTTTGTTTCCCTTAAGCACCTTCTCCTATAAAAATCCTCATTTGAGGAAAAAAAGTATTTGTGATACAGCTAACTAAACCTACAGAATTAACTAGTCCTGTTTTTTTTAGCTTCAAATGCGCTTTCCCCTCCTCCTGCTCCTGCCTGAACAAATATTCTAAAAGACCCGAAAGTGGCAGAGTTGGAGAGAGCCAAACTTCTAATCCAAATCAAGCTGCCTGGGGCTATTTCGAGTGTTTGGTTTCTGCTTTCAAGGCCAACTGCACTTTAATTTCTAGCAGCAATGAGAATCCTCATGTTTCTCCACTTTGAAGACACATTCCCCTAGCCCAAGTTTGTGGAAGAAACCAAGGATAAGAAACAATCTGCTTGCACAGACTCCTACCTGATCACTGCAAGCTTGCTGAAACATGGTAGCAGCTGTTTCACTCCATAGTCATTGATGTTGTTGTTGTCCAAATCCAGAGCCAAGCGTTTTTGAAAGTGATGCACGACAAAGGAAATAGCACTGCAGTCAGCAGAGTAGGCATTGCAGTATGTAAGCTTGATGTAATTGGCATGCATGCGTTTTGCAGCCAGCTTTCCCACTTTCTCATTTTGAGTCTCATAAAGACACCTCAGCATCCAAACAAAGTTTGGCTGAACCTGCACCTGATTGTACTTTAGAAGCCTGGACCGAGTGACACCCTTCAGATGGGATTTCATGCTCTCTCCAAGGTATGTGATGAGTGTCTTTCTCTTCTTTCTAATGACTGCAGGCAAAACTAAATGTTTGAAGAGCTTCTCCTTGGATCTGGAAAGCAGGCCACAAAGAAAAAGGTTGGTAAAATGGAAGTGTTCATTGTTTCGGAAAGGATCCTCCCCTGTGAGTGGTTTCTTCAGCCAAGGAACATGGAAGCAAGTATGTTGGGCAGTCTCAGCAGAAGAGCATTCATTGAAAAACTGAAGTATCTCCTTACTCCCCACTCTCTCTTCCATAACTAGGAACAAAGCGGTGAAAAAAGACTGAAGGGTTAAGTGCAAGAACTCATAAGTGGATTGATCATTACAGCCACTATAACCTTTAACTGTCCTGAGAAAACCCAACTGCAAATCTTCTTCAGAGATGTTCGCTGATGAGACCTCCTCTTGCTCAAAGATAAAGATAGAGTTCCTCATCCCTTTGTATGCAATTTTACCCAAAGCTAGAAGAGTTTCCTTTCTTGATTTGAACACCTCTGCTTGGCTCCTGGTGTTGTTCCTCAGCAAACTTGTTTTAAGAGACCGGTTTAGATGGACTTCAATCATGAGCAAAAATACATCTGTCAATGTAACAGAACAGTCTGGAAGCTCATGGCTGTCAAACATGGAATGGAAATGTTCATAACATTTAAAGATAATCCAACAAAATAAAGGCACTGAGCACAAACTACGGAGGTTGGGGTTAGCTTCCAGCTGGTTCAGTATCAGCGTTCGCTGCCCCACATCTTTAAAAAACATGGCAGTATATTCCTTCAGGTTAGTGCTGGAGAAACCACGAAGCAGCACTTTCTTTCTAACGATATTTCTTTGGATTTCAGTTCCTGTCCGTGCCGTAAGAATTTTCTTGGATCCCTTAAGAAGCTTTCCTCTGAGAAGGCTTACCAGCAGCACCAGAGGGTGGATGGGTTCATTGGGTGAACACATCTCAGGAACACTACTGAGATCAAAGTTGGAATAGATCTCATCAAAGCCATCAAATGTGAAAAGAACCGTATGAGGGAACTGCAAGATGTGATGGAACACCTCTGTAGGGTCCTGATCTGGGTAGCAATTATATCTGAAGAGTAAGTCTTTCAAACACACAGCTTCATCTTCCTTAAAGCAACTAAACATTCTACATCGGAAATGAAAGAAAAACTTAGCCCCTATATCCAACTGCTTTTTGGCCCAAAGACTTTGTATCTTTTGCAGCAAAATAGATTTTCCAATTCCTGCATCACCAAAGACATAAATAGTCTCTCCATCTTCATTTATTACCCCAACTGCATCATCAAAAAGGGCTTGTAATTGACACACTTCACCCAGGTTCTCATTGGTGAAATTGACCATCTCCATAATACTGTTAGAGTAGATTTCTTCAAGCAGCATCTCCTCCCTCTGCGCATACGACATAACGAATTTGGAGTCTCGTCCCAGTTCATATCTGAGTTTTTGGCAATACCTGCTAACTAAAAAGACAGTGAACTATTATTACAATAACTACTATTAAAAAGCCTACTGCATATGATAACCTATCTGTGGGAACTCTGAGGGATAACAAGTTAAAACAATTCTTACGCAAGATGTTACGCAAGTTTTTGGCAGATGACTTCTTTGCATTCAGGCTGCCATAATAATGGAAAATTCAGATCCTTAGCATGTGAGTCACAATTTCCTGAAATCTAACACTGACTCCAAGACATTGTACTGCAATAAGAGGCTTCTATCTTTCAGATGGGGCTCAAAGTCAAGCCCCTGAAGCTTTGTTAGAGATTGTCTGACTCTCAGCAAAGGCAGGGGTTTTTGGTCACAGGTTAGTTTTGGAATCTGCTGTTTCACTCTATTTATATTCTACTGCAATAGAGACAGGTGGCCATTCTTTCCTAATTTGTTTGGTATTTTTTATTATTGCAAATAGAAAACATGCTTTAGAAAGCAGGAACCCCAGATTATTTTTTTCTAAACTGACACAAAAAATGAAAGTCCCAGTTACTATGCAGTGTTGACTTGTGTTTTTATTACTACAGAAATTTTACCTCTGATGGGGGCAAAGTACTTCTTGTATTTATACAGTATGAAAGACCTCTCACAAGGAAAACACATATTCCTGCTACACTTTAACTCTGACTTATACAAAAAGTCATTATTTAGGACCATAAAATAATTCAGTTGGAAGGGATCTCGAGATGTCTCAAGCCCAACCTTCTGCTCAGAACAGGACCACCTGTGAGATCAGATATTCAGGGCTTTGTCTAGTTGGGTCTTGAAAACCTGCAAGGAGAGAGAAGTCACAGCCACTCTGAGCAGCCCGCCTCCTTGGTCGACTGCCCTCAGAATGAAATACTGGCTATTCCATTGCCAAAATGTGACAGTGTTGCTAATAAACTGTAACAGAAGCCTAGAAAATACTACAGCTGGCAGAAGGTGGATATGCCATTATGCTATATATCCACAAACAAATGCAAAAAGAGCTTGACTTCAGCAAAACAGGACACTATATCAACATGACTCTTGTGTTATACAGCGTGCCCTTTAATTATTTGGCTAGCTCTGCTAGCAAATACAGGATGTGTGCATTTATTTTCTCAGGCTGTGCCTGCCTAGACTCATTTACTCTCATGTCACCTGGTTAGAATCTCCCAAACAGTGGAAGTTCTAAGGAAAGGGATACAGATGTGTGATCTTACCTGGATCTGTATTTACGACAGGTTTACTACAGATACTCTCTGAAGGCTGGTAACCTATTTCATCCAGCCAAGGCTGAAGTTCATAGTAAGCATCAGTGACTTTCTGCAGGACACAGATGAAATATTCTGAAACTTCCTCTCCCTTGCTTTGAACCAAATCTAGAATTTTGCGAACCTGAAGAAACAGCACAAGAAAGAACACTGATGCATTGCACTTTGTCACAGTTAAACTGCTAGACTGCTTAGGATCCCTTTTGGACTGAAACAAAACACAGAATCAAAACCAGTGCTTCAAAAAATTGAATTCAAAATCTAGTTCTGAACTGTAACCATTACAAAACTCATTTTCTGTTTGTATTCAGATGTTGCAAGAAAGACAGCTCTGCAGGTTAAGGTCTGAACTTGTAGTTAAATCATATGCTAACCAAAACCATTGTGGATAAATACTGCTCCCCAAAAAGGAATCTAAAGGATTAGCTCAGTCTGGCAGAATATATTTTAAATCCCAGTCAGGTTAAAATGAAAAAGAAAGAAGGGATTTCTTAGTGCCCTTAATTAATTCCTCCACTCTGTAGATATTTCAGTCACATTTAGATTTACTTCTGGATCCAGTGAGATCTATAGTGGGGTAGGCAGAATCTCTCTCTAGATCTTAATGCAGATCAAAAAGCCCACAGTTCTTTCTTTTAACACAGCAATGGGCCATCTCTCTCTGTGTACAATGTACTTGTTGCCTGCAACTGTTACTAAAACTAATGGCTGTCAGACAGAGGCTGGAGCAGTTCAAGGCTAAGAGTTATCTTTAAAATCCTAACAGAGGTTGATCTCTGTGCCACCAGTATGTAGCAACCTCAGAGCAGAACCCTCCTTGGGACAGAGCTTTGAGGGTACAGTGAGCACTGTATTACCCGTTTTGAATGTCTGGATCCTATTCTTGCTGAGGATGAATCAATAATTCAGTTCTAAAGCAGAGAAAGGATTTGTTCAGACTACGGTCTCTTGTGAGGTACATAGCACACAGCAAAAACACTGTATTTTGGACAAATGTTTATGCTCTGAAAGGCAATTTTCAGAGAAGCTCCCACAGAGTCCATTTCACTTATGATTGTGGCCTGCTCTCTGTTTCTGCTCAGGCTCTTGATGCACAGCCCCCTTCCAGCCTTGTTACAACAATCATGTATATTATGCTGACCAAAAAGAAATGGAGATGATTATACAGTGTGCATTTATTCAGTTTTGGGCTTGTACACAGTGAGCACTGTATTACCATTTCGACTTGCTGGGAAGAATGATTATTTTATGAAAGTCTGCACTGTTTGTGAAGTCCAAGGTCTCTGATTCTTTTATGATTCGTCTGCCTTTAATTGTGACACTGTTCTGAAGCTGCATGACTGGTCAGGGACATAAACGAGGGGCTTGTTTTAAGTTATGATGCAAAGAGCAATTGTGTACATCTGATACATGATAATTTTCTCCTGTCTAAGGAACAGGAAAAAATGTTTACTACTGATACTCAGAGATGATTTACAAGCCCAAATGTGCCAGGCTGAATCAGTTTTACAAGCAAACATTTATAATGTACATAGGACTTTAAAGAGAAAGGAAAGTACGCACACAGACAACATGCAATGATGAACTCTAAGATAATATTTAATTTTCATCTTCTCCTCTAAAGTAGGCTGATCTGTCCCTCGGCATCCTGAAGTAGATTCTCCTTGTAATACTCTGCATGATAATGAAGGCTTGTGAGCATCAAAGTCACAGCCTAACAGCCACAGTGGTCAGCTCTTTATCAGAGGGCAAAGCTGCAGCTCAGGGGCAGAACAGCAATTATCAGCCTGTTCATTTTTGCAGCTGCCAACAGGCTACTAAGCAATGCTGGCTGTTCTTCTGGAGACACTTGCCCAGAAGGACTAGGGTGGCGATTGTCCAAAATAATAAAGATTAGGAAAGACATTAAGCCCATGAAATCTAACAGTAAATTGAAAATAGAAAAAAAAATTAAGCTGGTTAATGAAATAATACCTTATCTGCTTGAGTTGGAAACTGGACAACAATCTCTGCATCTTCAGTGGAGAAGTACTCATTGTTAATCAAGTTGTCAATCAAACACTGGGTGTGTCGGATCTTACTGACCAGAAGCTCTCGGTATACCTTCAGCAAAGCAATGCAGGATGGAGGACTTGCTGCCAGAGGTTGTTCCACAGAAGTCTTCAAGTTAGCACAAAGGTGGCCTTCCATAGCTGAGACAGCAAGAAGCTGCTCTGTCCAGCATCATCTTCAGCAAACTATCTGCCTGCAGTGAGGAGTCAGCTTGGGGTTAACTTCAGGGAAACAGGCACTCTGTCTTTTGTGCTGCCGAGTCTGTAAAATTAATTGCACAGACCACAATTTAAACATTATCCTCTGCAGATACATCCCCCCTATGGCCATTTAAGAGTACTTCCAATTTCTGTGAAGTACCATTACCAACTTAATTAAGAAAAAAAAAAAAATTCTATCCTCCTCAGGTACTTCCTGAGGTACTTTTTTCCCATTTGTTCCATTCGGGGAAAAAATTATCTACTGCAAACAGTCTCCCCTGTAATATAAACACTGCAGCTTGCCTCTAACAACATTTCCATATGCCTTATTAACTGCCTGCTCTTGGTACATAATTGAATATTTTTAATAGCATCTCCTGTCTCAATAGACAAAGCAGGGCATCTGTCCTAACATATATGGACAATAAAATAAGTGGAATAAAATTGTATTATTTCATAGCAATTAATTGTGTAGGAAGAATTAATTTATAGTAGCAATTCATTTTGCTTTTTGTTACAGCAGAAGTTTCTGTGTGAAATTTTGCCAGTAAGATACACGTCCCCAGAAATGAGGCCTTGTCAACTGAGTTTGAGCTAAAATATGACAGTTTTGCTAATACAAAATGATTTGGTTCAGGGCAGACTTGAGAGGCAGAACTGAGGCTGTGAGAATACCACAGGTCAGAATTTCTGTTAAGGAAGCAAAGAACAAGGTGATGCCCACTGTGAAAATGCTGCTATAATCTCAAGAACCAATATACCACTTAGGAGCACCTCATACCTCTTAGAATACTTGGTTCAGACAGTGTGTGAAAAGGGGAAAATGCCACTGCACTGATTTAATTTTGTTAAGCTTATCAAATTGCAGTGAGTAATCATTAAGCCAAAAATACAGTCTTTCTGGATCTGAACAATAACTGCTATAGAAAGGTCTGAAATTAATGATTATAAATACATAAGAGCTCATCTCTAGTGATTCACACAAAAAATCGGAACCTCTACTTGAGCCTGAATAGCACACAGTTGCTGAATTTGCAGACTCTTCTGTATACTGTGTCTGGAGCTGTGTCTGGAGGCTGGCATCCTAATTCACCCTGGGATCCAAGCCACCTCCACAAGCATACAGGCAAGAGATTGCATGCAATACAGCTTGTAATAAAGTTACCAATTTGAAACCTGCACAAACACACTTGACTGCCCAATATTTATCCATGTATGTGCACTTAGAGACACACCATGACTGCTCACCCCAACAGCCACCTGCTCAGGAAGCCTTCCCAATGCTGTAGAAGTTTTGTGTAGAAATAGTGCTCGGTAGCATGCCTGCTCTCTCCTTGTCTTCAAATACATACGCTGTTTCTGCCTTCGTGCTCCATACCAGCTCTTGGGAGCTCTTTGGATGGCTTCCATTCTTCTTTACAAGGCATACAGCAGTAGGAATCAAGAACAACAAGACTACTCTCATATTACTAAGGGTTTTTTTCCCAATTTATTTCCAGTTAATCTAGCCACACAGAAGTCACAAAGTTATGTTGTAATTGCAATTCAACAATAAATAATTTAAATACTATTTAGGCATGAACTTTGTGCATACCATTTCCAATGTAATAAAGACGACTTCTTGCAAGAACCTGCATGATTAACATCAATTACTGGCATCCTGTGGTAAAAGGGCAAAAAGTACTGTTGTCTCAGCAGGCCAAGGGATAGTTGGAAGAACATTTTTAGATTCTGATTATATATGTATTAAAAAAAAAAAAGAAAGAAAGACAAATTCCTTCTTCAACAATTCTGTAGAGATGCCAGCTCTGGAGCTTTATACTTCTCCTATTTCCCAAGACAATGCCTGCAAACTTCCTTCCAGCTCTCCCCTGACAGGGTGTAACTGAGGCCTACCAGCTTGCAGATTATTCCAGGTGACCTGCTCCTGGAACAACCTCATCTCTATGCATTTTCCATACAAGAAACTACATTCTGCATCAGTGTAGCTTCTCCTTGATGCTGGAGGAAGACACGGCTTATACTCCGCTGGATTACAGCCTGTGTACGCTGAGAACCACGTAGCCTAGCTCCTGTGCTTTCAGGAGGCCAGTAGGTTGCGTCTTATGGTTGCTGACTTGCATAGATGAGCCCCACAAAGGCTAGGTAAATCCCCAACTATTTTGGGACTCAGTCAACTCAAAAACAACAAAATTCTTTCAGCCAAAGAGAATAGAAGCAAGTGATCTGACTTTGTTACCACATGAGTGAGTGACTGCAGCTCCCCAAACAAACTAAGCTTTCATTGCACCATCCACATGACCTGCCAGATGAAGTGGCTGATTTCTGAGTCACTCAGCTTCCTAGAAGCCACATTGCACATCTCTTTGTTTAAGAAAACTCATTTCATAAATGAACACTATCATGAAGACCAAACAATACTGAAAACATCACTCACTCCAAAGCTTTTGCAAGCTTTTAAAGAGATAGAGTCACCTTAAAAATACAGGCAATAGAAACATTAACCCTTTCCTGTACTGCCTCTACCCAACACCTCCTGCTTCCTTTGGTTTTCTAGGACCATGTTCTTTCTTTCTAGTTTGTGACAACTAAGGCAAATATCCAGGAACGCGCAATAATGAACCAATGACTGTCAAGAGCACAAAATAAATAGAAATAGTTTATTTACACTTTCAGATCCATCTAAAAAGAAAAAAATAGAAAAATACAGCAAAAAGACAAGAACAAGGAAAATATGGAAAGAACAGAAGGTCTCAAATTAGCCTGCCTCCCATATGATTAAGTCTGTGTCAGCAGAGAACCTGATTGCTGTTGGGAGGTGAGGCCAAGCACCAAGGAAAAAATAGAGAAAGAGCAGAAAATACAGAACAGTGAAGTATTTTTCACTGATCTCTTTTAATAAGAAAAATGGAAAACCTTCACCATCTATGGACTAAGAAAACGTCACGGCAGATGAACACCTTAAGTGGTACTGGAACAAAACCAGTTCCCGACTCGTACAGTTAACAGCAAGGCAGGTACATGCATGCTTGTAACAGAGTGTATCGGCTTCATGAAGAAACTTCAGGTTCTACCTAGACTAAAGCCAACACAAAAATTTCCTACCATAGAAGTTCCATGTGCAACAGCACCTAAAAGTCCTCACCAGTGTGAGAAATGTGCTTATTCATTCAGATAAAAAAACACCAAAAACCTGTAGGATTTTGACATATATAATTCTGTATGTCTAGCTTAAATTGACTGGAAACAGGTGAGCAATGTGTCGATGTTACAAGGTACCAAACTTATCTGCAAGTCCATCATCTCTCTTTCTGGCAAGAGTTCCAGCTTCCACAGTTGGTGTTGGTGTGATAGATGACAGAGTTACAATGCACCAGGTCTCCTATTACAAGGATCTACTAGATGTACAGTGCTAGTGTATGTTTAAGGACAAACACTTATGTGGCTTAGAAAAAGGTGTTGGAAGCAATCACATGCTAGACCATGGAGTTCTCTCTCTTGGGCACTCCAGTTGCTGGATTCAATTCCAGTGCATCAGTCAAGGGGATGCTGGTAGAAAAGACTGAGACATGTATTAGTGCACTAAAGTGCCCTGACACTAATAAAAAAGCCTGAACACAGACACTGTTGAGAACCACTGCCTCATTTAGCAGCCATTCCATTTCTGAAAGGGCTAATGAATTAAATAATTTCCCAAAAGCCACCCCAAACTTCTTACAGTCCAATTAAGATATCACTAAGTTACAATGAAAAGATATCAGCTGTTGTAGCAACTACAGCTGAGTATTAGCAGTGAGGTTTGTACAAAGGGTATACACACAGGGAGAAATGGAAATAATTGCCAGCTATGTGAAGTCCCAAAATCAGCAGAACACTGAAGGAGGAACAAGAGGGAGGCAAGAGCAATCATACCTGGGCAAAGTAGGGGGCTGGTATGGAGAGACAAGGGAACAGGCACAACTGGGGAAGAGCTTCTTGTCTGGGAATAGAATGGACTTCTTCCTGAAGTGGAAAGGAAAATGAATGGTTTACTCAAGAGACTGCCAATGATGTTGTAAAGGAAATTCAGATAGCCTCTTTGGGGACAGCAGCTTCAGTCCAGTGAAGCGAACAGAAATCTATCAGGAACTAAAAAGAACCAGAAAGCAAAGTGCTCACCCATCCATTGCAAAGGCAAAGAAAAGACAGAGGGCAGCCCTGGCCTATGAATGAAGAGTCAGAGGGGATGGAAGGGATGTCAAAAGCAATTGCAAGACTGGCAAGGGATGCTTATCGTAAGCCTGCAAAACTGAAAATAACAAAGAGGAAGAAAGATGGGTATCAGGCCTAGAATAAGGAGGGAAATGAAAAAGTGAAATGAAATTTCTCACAGTATCGGTGCTTACAGCAAGGTTTTACGTAATCCATGTCAAGAAGCAGCAGCAGTGCTGATAGCTTCAGTGTGAAGGTATCTGCATGTCTATCCAGAGCTTCTTCTGACTTCTCTTTATTTAAAAATCCTCAGCATTGTGCAAGCATACATACAGTTACAGCTTTCCTGGCCTTGCCCTTCTTATATCCTCTTTTCACTAAGATCACTTTCCTTCTAACAAAACTGCCATGCTTGCTCAGCTGCCAGTTCTGCAAGTCCTCTGGTAGTGAGGAATACTCTGGTTTACTGGTAGCAATAGCATTTATTACAACATCTTATTAAAAGGAAACGTTGTAGAAAAAGAAGTTGAAAGGTCTCAATAGCTGAAAAACAACTCCACATTTGGGTAAACTGAAGAATTAACTCCACACTGAGTCAGCTGCTCCAAGAAGACGGGGTATGATGAAGCAACAAAGCCCATAGAAGGAACAAACTAATTAATAGCAGTCATTCAGAGAAGCTTATTTAAGACCAACATGAATACATCTGAAGAGCTGAAGACTAAATCAATAGTAAGTTTCTTCTGAAATTTTGTTAATCCAGCAAAAACTGTTCCTCTAATTCTCTGTGAAATGAAGTCCCATGCCATAGCACTAGCTACTAGCAGCCAGCGGCTGGAATATCTTCAAGATTTCATAGCACCCTATTGCCAGTTCTGGCAAGGGCAACAGCTATGTGCATACAGCACAGTGCCAGCCCAGGGCAAGTGGAGTCTTGGAGAGGCTTTCCCATACTTGTTGGCACAGTCTTCTGTGAGCAGCACTGAAAGTTACTCTTACAGAGGTGGCTCCCTTCCCCTCAGAAGTATGAGCCGTTGTGCCTCCAGGTCAAATTCGTCTCCTGGGAAAAGCTATTTTACAGTGATAACCATCCCCCTGCCGGGTCGCTACTGCAAAAGGAAAACTGGAGGTCATGATGTGTTTTCTTTAACGACGGCAATCTTGGCTCACTCAGGACAGTGTGAACTCAAGAACTAGCTCTGGGAGAGACTGAAAAAGAAATTGATTTTACCAATCTTAATTCACGTGTGACACAATGTCTTCGAACACAGCAAACAAAGGAGAGCTTGCTTCCGCTCACTCTTAATTTCAGAGTTGTTTCTAATGGTAACCTCATCTTCAAAAGAACATCAACTATTTCACACAGTACCAAACGGCACCAAGGTGCAGGTGCTAGAACGGGGCAGGCAGCTCTCACTTCTCACATCCCCCTGATTTTTGCGTTAACTGGGGAAAGCACCGAGGCCTCAGTGCTCCTGTGTGAGTCAGTGCACGCAGATGGATCCTCCGTCGGGCTCACAAGTGAATGTCACTTAATGCCTGTGTCCCCTCTGGAGGACAAGGCCCTCACCCCGCCCGCCCCGCCGAGGGCTCACATCTCACATCGCCGCCAGCGAGCGGCCCTGCGGCAGGAGCACGGAACGCTCGGCGCCTCCGCACTTGTGGCACCAGCTCACAGGGGACCGCAGCCCCTCCCCTTCCATCCCGTAGCTTCGAGCGCGACAGCAGAAGAAGCAGACACTTCGATTTCTGCCCTTAAACCCCCGAGCTCGAGCTCGGGCCCCGGCCGTGCTGCCGGACGTCCTCCTCCCGCCGCCCAGCCCGCACATCAGGACGCGGTGCCCGACCCCCGGCCCGGCCCGGCCCTTCCCTTCCCTTGCCCTGCACTCACCGCGGCGCGGACGGCACGAAGGGGAGGAGGAGCGGATCGGCGCTGCGCCGCCCCGGCCCGCAGGGAAGCAGCTCCCGCCCCACACGCGGTCTCTCCTCCCGGGCGGGAAGCGGCTCCTCCCCGCGGAGCCGTGGCCGAAGGCCTGTTTCCTTCGCAGCCTGCTCTTCCTCCCCACGCGGTTGGCCGAAGGCGCCTTCCTCGCAAAGCCCGCCATTCCTCCTCCCCTGAGGCAGAGCCCTTCCCCATCCTGCACGCCGCTTTCGTCAGCAGGAGCCATCGAGCGCCCACCATCAGTTCCCTCCGCTGGGGCAGCCAGGTGATTATTTTCCTTTTTCTTCTTGGTAAAACACCCACTCAAAAGTGCCCGAGGAGCCCGGTGAGGGTAAAGCAAAACCAGCGGTTGTGGCATTAAGGTGCTGGGCCGTTCGTTTTTTGCCCTCTGTACTGCAGTTGCATCCATGAGAAGTACAAAGAGCCAAAGAAAGTTTCGGTTATGCTTCCACATCACCCACTTTATAGCTTAAATATGTGACACTGATATTCCCAAAGAACACACTGCACAGGCACGGGGAGGTTTGATAACTGCATTTTTATGTACTCAGGCTCAGACCAGGCAATGCTAATACAAAAAAGTTACCGTGTTTTACTGCATCCGTGGTGCCCAGCTTTAGGAACAGCCCTCACGTTGTACATGACATCAGGACAGCAACTACACACATCCCTGGCAGAAGTCCACAGGAGTGAAAAAATACAGAGAGAAGATGTGGTAAATTTGCTACTTTTCCATTTTTTCCATCTAAGCTGTCACACAGTGACACCGATTATATTTTACGGCACAGAAGAGAAGCCAAAGTTCAGTAGCTTCGCACCATACAGGTTGCCAGTTTTCCTTTGTCATCCTCAGACAAGGGGCTGCCATGTACCATAGATTATGAAGTAGTAGAAGTACTGTAAACCTTACAAGTGTCACCAGTTTTGTAGGGGATTGTCAGTGCTGTGAGAAAAAGGCAACGTCTGTTCATCTATGGTTTAATAGACAAAGCTACAACACAGATGCACTAGGATTAATTCACAGGAGATTTGGTCTGAAGTACAGTGAAATCAGCAAATCCTAGATAAAAACCAAGACAGTTAAAGAAGTAGTTAAAAAGCACAGAATTATCCAAAAATGATTATTTAGAATCTGTTGGTTGTACTTAAGTAGTTCAGCTATGCTGATTATTAGAAAAGGGGAGGCTGTTATACTTTGAGTAAGATCCTTTGCTAAATGCTGTTTTCAAGCCTGAGTCCCCTTTCGGGTTAACACTTTAAAACATGGAAATAGTTAAAAATATTTCTCTTTCATTAACTATATAAATGGAAACAGAAACGACACAGAAAAAAGTTCAGTATAGCTTCAGAGTGCAGAGTAGACTCGACTCTAACAAATCTTTGAAAACCTTGACAATTGTGTATACATTTGTGAACAAAGGGCCTGATTCTGCAGCCCTTATTCCTCAGAGGGTAACTGAGCTGCAAACAGCTAGCAAAATGGGCCTTTTCTTTTAAAGGTCTGTAAACAGAACAGAAAGCACAAATTTGCGTGCAGAGCTGCATAAGAATTACAGAAAGCTAATTCACAAATCTGCATGTACTTAAGCTATAAATACAAAGTGAAGACGTTGTCAATGTCAGCGTGTCTCCAGACTGCAAATTATGTCTAATAGTTTACTGCAGATATACAGCAAACTCATCTTTTCTTGATAAATAAAGAAACCGCTGGTCAGCACAGTGAAGAGAAGGATCTAACTCAAGGTGAATGGCCAAGCAAGGACAGAATTATTCTATGCAAAATTTATTTTGTTTGCTTTAATAGTAGCTTCAATTTCTTCTAGGATCGGCACCGGTCCTGCATAGTTATTAGTTTCAATAGCTTCTAATTTCTTCTGATACTCAATTGGCAAGCCATTCTGTTTTGCACCCATGCAGATAACCTACAGAGAAAAAGGAAAGGAAAAAAAACTTCAGTAGTAATGTTAATATCAACAGATCCCTCCAAACATTCACTGAAACAGAAAGAACCACTTAAAGCAACATGAGAAAACCAGGGACTACCAAGGCTACCTAAGATTTTGAAATGCTACCAATATGCTCAAGAGTCCACGATTAAGTTTTTCATTCAGTTATTCAGATCAAATCCAAAGCACAACAGTGAATGCCTAGATAGGTTACAGGAGTAACAGAAATTGATACTTGGTTTAGTGAAAACAGATTCCTTAGTTTGTTACTGCAGCTTTCCTAAAAAAAAAAATTAAAAAGAAAACCTGAACTTTTAGTTCAAGAGAATCTTGGTGACTATGAGAGAAAAACAGGAGGATATAGAAGGAGGATATAGAAGCCAAGGCTTGAAAGACACACTAGCAAGCTATCAAATAGGAGTGAAAGAGATAAATGCACAACTTTAGAAGCTGACAGTATTGCAAATATTCATTCATGCATTCAACAGCCAGGATACCCAAGGATGAAGTGCCTAGAAGTGATTAACTTTACCACAAGAAGTACACAACAATAGATGGATGCAAATGCAGTCACCTTTATAAATTTCTAGCCTTCTTACCTGGTTACCTTAGTTTAAACAAATAAACCAGGGTGAGGTGGGAGGAGGGGGGAGGGGGGTTAGAAAACATTCCTACAACAAGGAATAATTAACTGAATGAAGTTGCCAAAATTGAAAGTCTGCTCTTACAGCATACTAGGGAGAGCTCAGGTACAGCAACAGACTCAATGGATCAATTCCTTGAAAAGCCCTGAAGATCAGTTTTGACAGGAAGCAGGAGGGGAAGGGGGAGGTTTGTGAAATAGCACAGCCTGCTTTCTAAGCAAGCTTTCTCTTAAGAAATCCTGCAGCAGCAAAGCAGGTCTTTGCTGTGCTCCCAGAAGATGATCAGTGGGAGTCAATTCCTTAGTTCAGACAGGAAAATGGGATATAACAGACTTGAGCCCAGTTTCTTTGCTTTTGGTTAGAAACAAAAAAACATAAACAAAAAAACAATGCTAGTGATGTCTATTTGCAGTTGCTAATAACTGCAGAATTCCAGACATGCAGTCATGCCACCTGAGGCTAGATCCTCATCAGATCTCACAAGCTAAGCAGGTCAAGCCTGCTGCGTGACTGAATCATCTCTACACTCAGCGAGTTCCAGAACAGTGTTGAAACACTTTTGCCTCACCAGCCACCAAGTGAGAACCCTGCAGTGCCCTACGGTGGTGGTGGAAATTCTATGATCTACTCAGGATGCAACTGGTAAAATGAGGCAGGTGAACTCATGTACTAGAAGATAACTAGACTACAAGCCAGGTACTGTGTTCACCCCACGGAAGTTTCCTCTGTCCTAGAACTATGCTCCACTTAAGTGGGATATTTTCATTTTTTAGTTCCAAACAGAAAATTGGAAACAACTGGCATCTTTCAGAAATCCATGTGTCAGTCATCACTAATTCATGAGTTAAATAGAGGCTTCATGCAAAGTAGAACTAAAGCAGATAATAAAACTGATTTAGTACATCTTTATGAGCTAGCAGTGTTCTGTAAGCATCATTACACCAGTACATTGCACAAGGATTAAGTTGTTCCTTAACGTTAGAATTACTCATGCCTTTCATCCACTGTAAATAAAGTACTTATTAAACAGGACACATGTACTGCATTATATATTTCTGTTCACTCTCTCCAGATGCAATACCCACCTTTTTATACTGGGGAGAAGGAGGACCACAAACATAGTCCTTCATCTGGTAGCTTCGACAGGTCAGAACCTTTCCTTCTTCAGTGTGGACATTAACTTCTATTGGGACATAAATGCCATCTTCAACTCCCTCTTGCCTAAAAACGATATATATATATTCCTTTAATGCCTAATAATCAATGTGTGACTAACATCTTTCAAACTGTGCAATTAAACCTATACATTTAGCACAATAATTCAGAACACTGATCTGCACTGTTATCTAACTTAAAGAAATAAAGCAAAACAGATTACAGTACTTTCTGTGCAAATTACTTTCATATCCAAAAATTAGTTTCTACAGAAGAAATAGCATTCACTTTTGTCATTTCAACACCTTAGGAAAGATGACTAGCAGCCATCTTGTAAGACTAGAGAGTACTGCTTGTGAATTAGTTACTGTGCAAGTCTGGTAATCTACAAGAGAAACTCAATCAAAATTATCAGATTACAAATAATTAAACATTTGCAAAGTTTTATCTTGCCACTGTGTTATATTTGAATAAGAAGAAACTGGCACAACTCTTGCAATGAACATTCCAAAGTGAATAATCCAAGACAACCTTTAATTTGAGCAAGACCTGCACAGTAACAAAGAGCTAATTCAGTGTGTGTATATATATGTATATATATATAGTTTTTCTAACTAGTAAAATCATGCTGCCATAGGAAATTAAAAGCAAGTACAAAACCAGAGCTACATTTTTATTTTTACCTTTAGCATTTAGCTACCAATGGATGTCTGAATACAGAGTTCAAGAAGAGTTAGGACAATGCTTTCAGGTTTAATTTTTTTGTAGTCCTGTATGGAGCCAGAACCTAGACTTGGTGATCCCTGTGGGTTTGTTTCAACTCAGGATATTCTATGATTCTTCTGTCATTACAAAAGGCAAGAATACATCCTATTTCCATCCATTTCCAGTTCATCTTCTTGGCACCAGTTAGGCAACTAGGAAATAGTCAGTGTCTTTTTGGTGAAGTTACAGCACTTAAGTCTCTAGCATCTTAGCTAGCATTAAAGGATATTCCCTCTCTAAAAAAAGTCAGGGATCTGCAGTTCCATGGCATATAAGGAACATTTTTTTAAGTTAAAATATAAAATATTGCCCCTAAAGGGAAGAACATAGTGCTGCTATCAAAGCAACTACTGCCAGGCAGGATCTTCATCTGGTGAAGTTTACACTTGGGGAAAGAATGATAATTCATAGATTTCAGTATGGGTCAGCAGGAGCTTGGTTCCCCATCCCTAGCTGATGGGGAACCAGGTAGATAAGAAAGCAGGGACATGTGAAGCTCCCACCAGTCAGGAGCATGCTACCTGGATGCCTTCTTTGGGACTAGCACTCCCAAGCAGAACATGAGAGTGTTGACTGTGCCTCTTCTCATTATCTGGTCAATAGTTTGTTATCTTCCAGCTTCACTGTAGGCAATGAAAAGCGAGTTGAAGCTTCAAATTTCATAGCCAAGATTATAAGAACATACCTATGTAGCACAGTGCAGTCATAACCAAGGTTGCTATAGTATCAGAAGCAGGAGAACTATGTTAGCCTAATGCTTTCACCTAGCTTAATATATCTTGCTTCTTATCCTCACTAGCCTACTGCTACAGTTATTTGACAGTAATGAAAAGCTTTGAACAAACAATCCTCTTGCACCAGAAGCAAAGTCCTTCCTTGGGCCCTGCAGGAAATATTGCTACTCCTTCATTTATTTACCCAGATGCTCTTCCAGACTCTCTAACCTGAGTACAGGTTGGGAACAACTTGCTCAGCCTGCCTTTGTCTTAATTACTGAACGCAGGCAGAACATTCTCCTCCACCATGCACCATGCACTGTAACGGTGCAGGGAACCTCTCCCATTTGAGGGGAGAAACAATACTGCCCCTGCTCCCTGCCTGGATCTTCCTTAAGGACAAAGTTTAGAGGCATTTATGGAACAGAATATTGTGAGGAAAAGAGTTTAAAAAAAACAAAAAGTGTAACCTGCCCAATGTATCAGCTCCAAATCAACATCCATACTTTACTAAAATATGCCTATGGTAGTTTTTACTTGAAAACAAAGCTATTTTAATCTCAAATCTTTTAGAAGCAATTAACACATACAGTGGAGTGAGATGCACATATTAAAATCCAAAGCATCTTCTTGATTGCAGCAAAAGCTTCCACACTGCTTGTCACAGAAAGTTACCTATTACTTTTGAATTGCTCTCTAAAGTAATAGAAGACAGCAAAGTTAAGTCACCTACTTATCCAGTGAACTTATATTGCTAGCGTTCAATTTCCACACTATTCCCCACACTTCGTCTCCAGGGCTCTGAACAATGGTAGCTGTACCTCCATGCCAGATAGAACTTGTCCTGCCTTGATGATGGCCAAAAGTGAGCTTAAAATCCTGCAAATGAAACCAATGCAGACAATGAATTTCTACTTCACTTAAGATAGGGGCTGTGATTTGTTCTTGATGCTGAAGGGGCAGCTGAAGCACAGCCTACAAGAAGCCAGCTGGAGCTGTGGCAGGAAGAAGTGATAGTCCTGAAGGCAGGATCTCAAGTGGGCAGAAGTCATCCTTTTTCATCTCTACAGGGGGAAAAGGGACAAAGGGGAGAGAGGTCTGCCAGAAAACACTGCTGGCAGAAGTCTCATCTGTAGACACCTAACTACTAACTAACCATTTCTTGTGTTGTGAGAAAAGAGATAATAATGAAGCTTCCAAGACACGGAGCTCTGGGCCTTTTCCTCATTCTCTAATAGAGGTGCCCAGATGTAAGATACCATTTGTGTATTTTCTCATGTTTTATGCTGTTTCATCTTTCAATTGGAACATTCCTGGGTATTTTTAGGTTGAGACACGTCTCCTTGACTGAGCTTTACACACAGAATGGATTGGGTTGGAAGGGACCTTAAATGTCAGCTGGCTCCATTCCCTTGCAAGTATTGCAAGTCAAAACATTGCTTCAGAAAACAAGTACTTTTTTTCTTACAACTAATACCGAATGTTGCCATAGAGGCAAAATAGAACAACTTGTTCTTGCATTTTCCCAGGGTCATTTCACACCTGACATCACAAAGGTCAGAGTTTCATTCCAACTTGTTATACAATGCATAGCCCTTCCCTAGCAGCACAGAAGGGAAAGAAAAGAGCTTCAAGGAAGACTGCCTGATCAATAAGAAAATAAAACAAAGTAGGAAAAAAAAAATTTAAAAAAAAAAATCAAAACAGCAACACAACCAAAAAAAAAACCAACAAAAACCTACACAGCCGCACAGCTTTACTTATGTATATCCGGGCTCTGATCAGCGCTGACGTGCTGTAAGGACCCTGGACAAGGCCCTCCAGGCAGGGAAGCACGCAGCCGAAGCCGACCGCTGCTCGCAGGGCAGCCCCGGGAAAGCGCTCCCGAAGAGCCGCTCTGCGCTCACAAACCGCTCCCTCCGCCGCCCTCCCCGCACGCACCTGCAGGCGGCCCCGGGCGCAGAGCGCCGCCGAGGGGTTGCGCAGCAGCAGCCGCTCCCGCAGCAGATTGCTGCCGTAAGCGAAGTACAGCACGCGACCCTCGCCCGCCTCCATCGCCCCGCTCTCGGCCCGGCCCCACGCACCGCCCCTGCAGCGCCCGCCCCGCGCCGGCTGTCTGGGCGGGACCTCCTCTCAGCGCCGTCCGCTATTGGCTGGCAGCCCGCGCGCCGCCGCACTTCGCGGCGGGAGGCAGTGACGTGCTGGTGCTTTAGATGGCCGGCGGCGTGCTGGGCTGCGTCAGCACGGGGTGGCGGGCGGGGGAGAGATGCGATTCTCTGCTCTGCCTTCGTGGGGTCCCATCTGGAGTACTGCGTCCAGGTCTGGGGTCCCCGGCACGAGAAGGATGAAGAGCTGTTGGAGCGTGTCCAGGGAAGGGCAGCAAAGATGATCAGAGGGCTGGAGCTCCTCTTTTGTGAAGAAAGGCTGAGGGAGCTGGGGTTGTTCAGTCTGGGGAAGAGAAGGCTGTGAGGAGACTCCATTGCAGCCTCTCAGTACTTGAAGGGAGCTTATGAGCAAGAGAGAGTGACTTTTTTTTTTTTTTTTTTTTTTTTACACAGGCAGGCAGCGATGGGACAAGCTAAATTTCCCGACACAGGAAAATTAGGTTAGATGTTAAGATGAAATTCTTCACTCAGAAGGCAGTGAGGCCCTGGCACAGCTGCCCAGAGAAGCTGTGGTGCGCCATCCTTATAAAGCACTCAAGGCCAGGTTGGATGGGGCCCTGGGCAGCTGAGCTGGTGGGTGGCAGCCCTGCCCATGGCAGGGGGTTGGGGCTGGGTGGGCTTTCAGGTCCCTTCCAGCCCAAACCATTCTGTGATTCCATGAAAATATAATTGATAGAGCCCAGCTGTGCACTTAAGCAGACAGGCAGTGATGTCACTGTGGCTGCAAAATATAATTTAAAGAGGGAGTGTTAACTCTGAAGCTCACTGACAGCACAGCAAGTTTTCCAGGCTGGTCCAAACACACAAAGGACTGTGTTAATTAGGAATTAGCCCCTGAATTCCCTGCATCTTCTCTCCTTGGCGTCAGGATATGACTGAGCAGGAGAAAAGGGTGGTGTTTGGTCTGGAGGAACAGCTTTGCAAGCCTTCCTGCTGCTGTACATCCATTGATGGCAGTGTGAACACAGCAAAGTGCTGCATGTTTCCCATTGGGGAGGGGGAAAAAAAAGAAAGAAAGAAAGAAAGAAAGAAAAGGGTGGAAGGAACTTTCCTTGCAATTTGAGCAGAAACCTGCAGGGTTTTGGTGGTAGCACCAGATTTTACACTTCTGCTGGCCTAAGACTTTATGCAGGGCAAACTGTTAAAAAAGACTCTACTTTTTGAAGTTAAATTAGTGTCAGAGAACTGACACATGCCCTGTGCTGATCTCTGCCCCAAACCATACGGAGCCATTGTTTCCCCCTGCTGTAAATGTAAACCCTGCGCACAGCAAGCAGTCAGGAGCATGTCTCACATTTGGGAGGCTCCCAAGGATTGGGTGCAGAGGAGAGTTCTGGATGCCCACTGGTGTTGTACATTGTCCATGGAGAAGATCAGGAGGGTTATTTGTACCACTGAAGTAGGATTTTATTCCAATCAGGTTTTTATCCCTAAGCAAAATTTACTCCTGAGTCCCTGCATATCCTACTTAGGGACCTGAAGAAAGTGTTAGGCAGTGGGATAAGTGAAACCTGCTGAAATATGTGGCAGTCATTCAGTGTGCCTGCCTGCCTCGTGGCTGTCACAGCGTGAGCTTTAATTAATACTGAAAAAGAAAGAACTTGGAGAAATAATAAGGGCATCTGATGCAAATGAAGCACTTGTGCAGTCCTCCCCACAGCTTTCCTCTCCTCCTCCCCCAGGAGCCCTGGCAGGATGTGCTCTGCAATTAGTATATCAGTGAAATGGTCCCTATTTGCTGCAAGGCAGTTATTATGGCTGTGATAGCTTCTTGATATGATGTGCAAGGTCTGGGGGGCTGCCAAGATTTTATGTTCATGCGAATGAATGCAAATGATTTTACAATATGTTGTGGTGTTGCTGTGCTTGTTCCTTCCCTATAAAATAGAGACCATGAAATCCTGTGCGAGTGCAGCCTCCTGTCCTGCACAATAGAGCAGCCTGGGGCTCCTGACAGCTCTGACCAGGGGGAGTATCTGTCATTCATTGTGCAGTTCTGTTTCCACATTTCTGCAAATAGCACATGTGATCATTTAGGGGAGATGAATTGTTACAATGCCTGTGTCTGTGCATGTTTCCACCTGCCTCGTCTTGGCTGTGGCCAGTGCCAAAGCGAGCTTGGGGTCCATGCTGAGGCATCCCAGAGCTCTCCCTGGCTGCTACATGTTCAGTAGTCTGCACCATTCAGCGTGGGGAGCAGGCAAAGGGAAGGCCATGAGGTTTATTCCTATTTTGGGAAGAGGAGGGTGTGCATCTCCTAGAACCTGGGCTTGCGCATGTAGACCATGATGAGTTTCTCGAGTTCTTTCAGATTCTTGTAGAGGCAAAACCTATGGGATCTATTAAAAAAAAAAAAAAAAAGATACTGTGCTTGAAATCTGGAGATGAGAAAAGATCCCAGTGTGTGCAGTCATGGCATGCAGCTAGCTTTAGTCATTTTGGCTTGTGCACACATTCTGCTCCGTTCAGTACTGCAGGTACTTGCAGGTGTGTGACTTCAGCAACTAGTTTGAAGATCTTGCCAAACATTACATCAGCTTTCACATGACCTAGTTTTGTACTTCTTCTTTTGTGCTTTCCTCTCTGTAAGCACTTCTGTGCTGTTAACCTTCAGCCTGCAGAAGACACTGCATGGCTCCAGCCCCTTTGTGGGGTCATGTCTTGTAGCCACATGCTTTCCACAAAGCAGCATCATGGTGCTTCCTAAGGTATGAAGGCAGCTATGTCCTGGGGATGCTGGGATGGAGGAAGGCATCCCTTTGAACAGGACAGGAGAAAAAGCCTGCTGGAGGGAAGGGTGCTAACACTGCTTTGCTTTCTTTATCAGATACATCAGAGATGCATCATGAATTGTCACATTTGTGACACCTTGGGTATAAAAGGCAGAGAAGCCATCCACAGGCTGCACCTGCAGATCTTCATTAAAATTGATGGCAGTTCTCACTGAAAGCTGCCCAACAGATGAATTTCTCCTTCTGAGTGCAGTTATGGTACCCAGGATCATGAGCCTGGCACACAGGAAAACCAGCCATTGAGAGCTTTGTTGTGGTAATCACTGTATGATTGCTTCATCCATGCTCTCATCATTTATTTGCTGAACAGCAGCTATGGAGAGCTGAATTTTGTTTCATACAGTCCTAGATGCTCTAGTCTGTTTTACTGTGGAAGTGCAGCTCATGCTATCCCATCATGTGACTATGCCACTGTACACACATCCTTTGGTGCTCATCCCAGCAACTTCTGGCAATTCCTGCCACACCTGCAGAGATCTACCAATTTCTATGTCTCCATCTTGTGTGAGTTGTAGAAAAGGAGCAGTTGGGCAAAAAATAGGTCTCAAACAGGTGAAGGCAGATCTAAGGGGACAACCTCTCAGTCTCCAATTTGTAATGAGTCATAAAATAATCACTAGGCAGCAAGATATGAATCCAAAGCCAAGATGGCTGAGATTCAGTGCTCTGTGTGGGCTCGTTCCTCAGTCAGAGCTCTTCTGCATCAGAACTTTTCTTGCCAGATGAGTGTCATTGATGTGAGGAGCACTCGTGGCATAAATTCAGTCCCAGATCACATCTATTATTCACGGGGTTTGCAGAGTGCAGGGACTTACAGAAGTCCCATCCCAATGAGGCAGAGAATGGCTGATAAACAGGAGAATAACATTTTCTACCATGACACATGTGGCCCTAAGCATCTCTAGGGATTCACATTTGGTAGCTGATTGAAATAGGCTCACTTAATCTCTTCCCTCATAGGAAGCCCTGATTCATTTTTATTTTTCCAAGCTGTCAGGAAAAAAAAAAATCTTTTCAGTTAGACAGGGCAGGTCCTCATTCCTTCCTTACGACTCACAGGAGAATTACGATGCAGGGAGGGAGGATCATCTTTGGAGCTGGTGTTTTGTGGGAATGTCAGTAGGTGCTGCTTGTGCTGGAAAACAGTGAGGTACACGAATAATTTCAGGTAGCAGTTGTCACTGATCGGGTCAGTCAGGACTGCATTGTACGAACTGCTCCTCTGACGCTCCATTGCATTCAACTGGAAAAAAAACAAAAAAACCACGTTTTTGATGAGTGCTAAGGGCATCTGACCACCAGGTGCCACTCTTGCTCCACAGGGAATAAGGGCAACTGTAAGACCAGACGTGGTTTTCAGGAAAAGCCAGAACAGGCGGACATCACTGTTTTTGTCCCTGTCTGGATTGCACCAGACGTCATTTCATTTTGTCCCTGTCTGGATTGGATTGAACAAAGAGGTTTAGTAGTTGCTTTAAGCACAATAGTTAGCCCTTCAATTTTGGCCGTGGAATTCAAGCTGGAGGTTTCTGCTCTGGAACCAATTTGCTTCTCAAAAGCTGGTGCTGGGTAACCGATCGGTAAGGCTGAAGTTGAGATTGTACTTTCAGTATGATATTCACATGCTCTGAAAATCGGGTCATTTAAAGCAGCCTTAGCTCCATCACACCGTGGCAGAGGTGGCTGAATCCTATAGATAGCACTGCAAATGCAGGCTATCCATATTGCCATGGCTGGGGAGGCTGCGTGGTCAGACACACAGAAATTTCTTAGTTGTAACCTCACTGCCTGCAGTTTGTTTCATGGATGCTCTGTGTGTGTGAGCTGTCTGCCACAGCTTTCTATCCTGTACAAAGTTGCAGGAAGTAATATTTGAAGTGATCTTATCAACACATAAATATCTACAGTATGGGAATCAAGTGAATGGGACCAGGCTCTGTTTGGTGGTCCCCAGTGACAGGACAAGGGGAAACAAGCAAAGACTGCAACACAGGAAGTTTCATCTGAACATGAGGAAGAACTTCTTTACTGTGAGTGTGATGCAGCACTGGAACAGGCTGTCCAGAGAGGTAGCAGAATCTCCTTCTCTGGAGATATTCAAGATGTACCTGGACACCTTCCTGTGTGATCTTCTATATGGAAACCTTCAGCAAGAGGTTGGTGATTTCCAGAGGTCCCTTCTAGCCCCTACAATTCTGTGATTCTGGGCACAATTTTTGGTCTATGAAGGTATCTGTCTTAGGGGACAGTGTCCTCAGTTCATTTATGCATGAGACCAATCCCTTCTGGAGCTACTGCCAATGCCAGCCTTTCCAGGGCCCCTTGCATGCTTTTATTTTCCTGGAGAAAAGCAGAATTCCTATCTGCTTGCAACCACAAGAGCTGCCCTACCAGTGGCCCCAGAAGTTGACTTATGGGATGCTGTAACCACTCTCATTTTTCATGATGAAGGGGCAGAAAGGATCAATGTGCACTATTCTTGGTTT